AGAGAAGCGAGCCCCAAGAGAACGCGTGAGCGAGTGGCGACGGAGGAAAGGAGAGCTTGCAACTAGCCTGCGAAAACATCTGTTTCACCTCCGTCGAGGAGAAACGGCTGTTTTCGCAGGCTACCGCGTTTGTTGTGTTTAAAAGTTTCCCCCACAAAGAAATCAGTTGATTTCATATCCAAGCGGATGCGTGGAAGATCGACTGATCTCCTCAAGAAAAAAGAAAAACACTGCAGTGATGAATAAACATTTTTTTTTGACAAAGTGGAAAGTAACGAATGCGATTTTTGATGACGCCGTGGTTTAAACAGAATGCAGCAGCTTTGAAGTAACATGTCTCCGCTGGATTCAAGGAATATTGTAGATCCGACTCAGCTTACAGGCTACGATACAGACTAGAAGGTCCACACCAATTGCCTTCTTTCACTGATCTTGTCTTTGTGCGAAATTGTAATATTTTGCTACTTGAACGGACAACGGTAGCGTAACTGGCGCGTTCTCAGGCCACTTGAGGCATGACTATGGCTCTTCTTTGTAATCAACCGCGCTTCCCAACCTAATTAAATATGCATATTTTGTTAATGCTATTTACAACGGTTTGCTTCCATCAGTGAACCTAAAAGTGAACTACAAAAAGTGTTGCTCAACGAAAAAATCACGTGGAACGTGATTTCAAATAACACGTGACATTGCTTCGTCACAAAACACGTTTTCCTAAAAGGGGAAGGGTTGCAAACCTTAATCTTAGGAATTTTTACTACCAAAATGTTACATAAACAGTGTAAATCGTAAATCTGCCTTGTATCATTGGAAATGTTATTTATCCTATTAGCTATTTAACTGATTAATAAGTCACGTGACCCTTCCCCCTTTATTTACAGATTCCTATATAACGTAAACACACATACATGGCGAATATTTAAGAACCTTTTAATAGCCTCTGAAATGTACCTAAAAGAACTTGTTGTTCTTTCATTATCCTTTCCCATTTTAGAGTAAATATTTTGACCGTTAATTCTCAGTCATCAGTCACTTGACGAAACTTTGAGCTTCTAAAATGTCTCATATTGCTAAGGCCATTAAGCTAAATTTGTAGTTCAATTTTCGGGATCATTGATAGAAGCAAACCGTTCTAAATAGCATTTTATCAAAATATTCATATTTAATTAGATAGTCATGCCTTAAGTTACCTAAGTTATAACACAGGAAGCCCAAGCTTAAAATATGAGCATCGGTATTGTTGTGTAACATTCCAAATACAAATATGAGATTTGTATGGGAAAAAACCTATCGTTTCTGTGACCTACGAAAATGAAAAGGATTTCAATAAAAAAAAAAAACAGCTCCTCTGTCACTTGCTCTGTGGTCCACGGGCCGATTTATGGCCGGTTTATGGGTTGGGCTGTGCTAAAGAGATTGATCTCAGTCTCAAAAGGCAGGCAGTAAATGCAGTGATCTTTACAGCTGCATTAATGGTGGGGATGAGCTTTGTGATGACACTGCTGACAGGGATAAAGAAAACTCTAACGATGATGATGATGTTGATGACGATGACTTCGAGGAGGAGGGTGATAACTAGAACATCTTGTCATGAATGTCTGGTCCTGTTAGTAAGGAAATCGCATTTCCATTGTTTTTTTAGGTCATAGGCCATTTGCATGACGGCGTCATCTTACTACTATGACCAGGATCCTTCAGAGTTTTGCTTTCTTGTGCAAATTAGGACTTTTGTTATTGAAACCTCACTGGGGCTAGCAAATTTACATATGAAAGGAAAAACGAAAAGAATTCTGGTCGTAGTAGTAAAATGACGCCATCGTGCAAATGACCTATTGGAACGTATCTTTAAAAAAGCTTAAAGGAATTTTTATGATACAGCTTCGTTTCCAGGATTCTGTAATAGCTTGGCCGGTTCTACATAACCTGAAAGGCGCTTCAATAGGTGTTTGTTGTTGTTGTTGTTTTTTTTCTATTGACTACGTGCTATTAGTGGTTGCTAAACGGAGTTTTAAGCTCAAGTCTCGTTTCCATGCTATCGCAGTCACGTGACCAGTTTAACTGCTTAACAGATACGTTGTCAAGTCAGATACACTATTATGTGTTATAAGCGCAGGTCTGTTAGCAATCTGTTGTCATTGAAGATGGTTTTCAGGTACTTTAAGGTCCAGCCTCGTTTCCATGCTAGAACACAAACGTCACATTTTAAAAGCACCCTTGTGGCCATCGGTGAAAGTTACAAAATTGCCGACAACATTTTTTATGTTCCTTGGAGTCCCCATAACACATCTAGATAGGTGGCTTCCTTTTTCCACAAAATGCCCACGGGATTACAGATGCTCCCAGACTATATACCAGAGTGCAAGGATTTAGAGATCACATAGAGAAACTGAAATCAAATCGGCACATTCACGTATTATTATGTACATCTTTGGATCTACATAATTTGTTGAGATGTGAGAAAGCAATACTACTGCTTGTAGAAGAAAAACTGAACTTGTAGTGATTTACATTTATCTTATTCATATAACTTAAATCATTATTAGATTAGAACAAACTACAAAATTAATCGAGGTTTTTATATAAAAGTCTACTCCTCCGCCTTGTCTGTTTCTATCACGACGAATAAATTCATAGCCTGGTATATGGACCTCACAGCTTTTGATATTGTCATCAAGTTTAGTTTCATTAATTGAGATAATATCGATAGAATAATCAAAAAGGAGAATTCTCAATTCATCAATGTGTTTAGTTTGACTGTTGATGTTCAACTGGGCTTTTCTAAAACCTCGTTTAGAAAGAATAAGTATGTGTAAACAAATGGTGACGAGTGAAATTAGGGAATAATTTCACGAGCGTTTTGCCCAAATCCTAATAATTTCCCGTGCCTTTAGACGAGGGAAAATTATTAGGATTTGGACAAAACGCAAGTGAAATTATTCCCTAATTTCACGAATATACCATTTGATTCCCTATTAATATCATGGGTGACGAATTACGTTAGCAATCTTGGATTTTTGACATATTTACTCTGGATCGTATCGATCGAGAACTCCACTCTCTCTCTCTCAAATGTTTAGACCTTAAATTTGGCTTATAAAGTTCAGAATTTTTCAGACTTTTTCAGAAAAATACCTGTTAGAATCCTTCTTGATGTTCTCTTGTGTGTTCCGGTTTTCTAAAGCGTCTTTTTGTGCCCCGACATCCTCATTCACGGCATTTTTAAAACTTCGTCGCAATTTCGACACTGAGACGTACGGAAGGGTTGCCATGGCAATTTTGTAATTTCACATGTGAAATTACAAATTAACGCTGAAATTTCGCGCCAAAATTAAGGAATAATTCGTCACCTATGATATTAAATCAGAAATACTATTATGTTGATTGGAAATAGGTGATCTAAAATACCTTTGAGAGGTTAACGTGGGCGTCTCCAGTTGCGAGCTGGAATAGGACAGTTTCATAGCTCCATTAGAAGCTTTCCCAGTCGTTGAATAGCTGGGGACCGAAAACCCTTACCAGACTGATCAGGGTTTGAGGGCATTAAAAATCGTTCAATAGGACAAAACTGTTCTACCCAACTATTTTAGCCCTACTAGTTACAGGTACAGCAAGGGGCGGATCCAGTGGGGTTGGATTGGGTGGCTAGCCACCTCCTTTTAGGACAGCCCACCAAAAAAGAATTAATACGTGGAAAGACATACGGAAATACGTGGGTCTCAAAGAAATCGAGAAAACTACGTACCTAGCATAGTCAGCTGCACAGTACTGGAAGGAAACGGTGACAATACCTTTCCTTGACGTAAACTGCTCAGGAAAAGAGGGCACATCATGACCTAGCTCTGTGCTCTTATTCTTCAAGTAATGAGGACGTTTCAAGAAGCCACAATAGAACTCAAACGCGTATCTACACCGGTTTCCAACTTTTCACGAAAATGGGTCAGATTTTTCATGAATAAATAAATATATTTTAAATGGAAAAAAATCCAAGTTGTACCCTTGCAAATATCCTATCTGAATGACTCAGAAACCCAAGAAAGGGAACTTTAGGGAGTTAAAATCAAAAAAAATGTACCGGGGAATCATGCCCCCAGACCCCCCTATAAGCTTGCGCCGTCGGCGCTCGTTTAGGAAATCGGTCAGTATTCATCCTAGATCCGTGCTTGGAACTTGCTCCAGTACTGCATGAGAAGTGGGGCCATCTGAGGCCTTGCCGTCATCTTTCGAAAGTCAGGAACTGTGGGCTGGAAGCGACAGGAAGCGTGTCCGATTATGAATTCATCTCGGTCTCCTCACAGACAGACAACACGCAGACAACATTTTCTTCCCAAACGAGAGGGAACTTCTAAAAGTTCGTACCGTTTTGTCAATGGAAAGCGCGGAAGCGGAGAAATCATTTTCCTGTATTCGGAGAATCCATAATTGGCTTCGCAACACAATGACCATCGAACGACTCTCAGATTTGGCCGTCATCGCCATGCATGCAAAAGCAGTTACCGTCGGTAGAAGTGTGGTTTGTGAGAAATTTGTGGCGCTACACCCAAGACGAATGACAGCGTCTTCACTTCTGGCCGACTAGGTTAGTCAGGTATTTCTATTAGCTTCTACTTCTTCTCAGTTTTTGTGGCGTTTCAGGAGTTTGCAGTGTTCCACTCTCCAATTCGTCCTTCCTAAATCGCCATGTTTTGGGACAGACGTAAGACATTAACGTATGGTTTGGTGGCTGATTGGTATCATACATCCTCCATTAAATATCCTGGATCCGCTCCTGAGAGTATTTTGTGAATTGTCTCTATTTAGCGTTGAAATAGACCAATCTAATTATCATTATATATAAACTCATATACTAAAGAAAGTTGGGTTGAAACCGGCAGAATACCGAACACAATGCCAGCCAGTATCAACAGTGTTGACCGTTAGCAATTCTCAGTTTCGGTATATCTTGCGAGGTCGCCAAATAGAGGAGCTGTGTAATAAAAAATAACAAACCCGTATGTCTCGGTTTAATCAGGACCTGCCTGCTTTTCTCCCAGTTTAATCTGGACGTGAGGTGCATGCTTTGCTGACTCTAATGCTCCCTCAAAATCACCAAGACAAAGTTGAGTAAAGAAAAGGGACTCATAACTATTAGCGGTGCTTGCGTGCTCTTCTCCGAACAGTTTAAGACGGATCTCAAGAGCGTGCTGTAGAGAATCTAGTGCTGCTTTGAAGTCTCCAAGTGAACAGTGAGTGACACCAAGCCAATCATAACTATCCGCGGTGCTTGCGTGTTCTTCTCCGAACAGTTTAAGACGGATCTCAAGTGCGTGCTGTAGAGAATCTAGTGCTGCTTTGAAGTCTCCAAGTGAATGGTGAGTGACGCCAAGCCTATGATAACTATCAGCGGTGCTTGCGTGTTCTTCTCCGAACAGTTTAAGACGGATCTTAAGTGCGTGCTTCTTAGACTCTAGTGCTGCTTTGAAGTCTCCAAGTGAATGGTAAGTGATGCCAAGCCAAAGATAACTATTAGCGGTGCTCGTGTGTTCTTCTCCAAACAGTTTAAGTCTTATCCCAAGTGCGTGCTTGTTAGAATGTACTGCTGCTTTGAAGTCTCCAAGTGAATGGTGACTGGCGCCAAGCGCATGATAACCATCCGCGGTGCTTGCGTGCTCTTCTCCGAACAGTTTAAGACGGATCTCAAGTGCGTGCTTCTTAGAATCTAGTGCTGCTTTGAAGTCTCTAAGTGAATGGTGAGTGACGCCAAGCTCAAGATAACTATCCGCGGTGCTTGCGTGTTCTTCTCCGAACAGTTTAAGACGGATCTCAAGTGCGTGCTTCTTAGAATCTAGTGCTGCTTTGAAGTTTCCAAGTGAATGGTGAGTGACGCCAAGCCCATGATAACTATCGGCGGTGCTTGCGTGTTCTTCTCCGAACAGTTTAAGACGGATCTCAAGTGCGTGCTGTAGAGAATCTAGTGCTGCTTTGAAGTCTCCAAGTGAATGGTGAGTGACGCCAAGCTTATCATAACTATCAGCGGTGCTTGCATGTTCTTCTCCGAACAGTTGAAGACGGATCTCAAGTGCGTGTTTCTTAAAATCTAGTGCCGCTTTGAAGTCTCCAAGTGAATGGTGAGTGACGCCAAGCCCATCATAACTATCCGCAGTGCTTGCGTGTTCTTCTCCGAACAGTTTAAGACAGATCTCAAGTGCGTGCTTCTTAGAATCTAGTGCTGCTTTGAAGTCTCCAAGTAAATGGTGAGTGACGCCAAGCTCAAGATAACTATCGGCGGTGCTTGCGTGTTCTTCTCCGAACAGTTTAAGACGGATCTCAAGTGCGTGCTGTAGAGAATCTAATGCTGCTTTGAAGTCTCCAAGTGAATGGTGAGTGGCGCCAAGATTATGATAATTATCAGCGTTGCTTGCGTGTTCTTCTCCGAACAGTTTAAGACGGATCTCAAGTGCGTGCTGTAGAGAATCTAGTGCTGCTTTGAAGTCTCCAAGTGAATGGTGAGTGACGCCAAGCTCAAGATAACTATCCGCGGTGCCTGCGTGTTCTTCTCCGAACAGTTTAAGACGGATCTCAAGTGCCTGCTTGTTAGAATCTATTGCTGCTTTGAAGTCTCCAAGTGAATGGTGAGTGGCGCCAAGATTATGATAACTATCAGCGGTCCTTGCGTGTTCTTCTCCGAACAGTTTAAGACGGATCTCAAGTGCGTGCTGTAGAGAATCTAGTGCTGCTTTGAAGTCTCCAAGTGAATGATGAGTGACGCCAAGCCCATGATAACTATCCGCGGTGCTTGCCTGTTCTTCTCCGAACAGTTTAAGACGGATCTCAAGTGCGTGCTGTAGAGAATCTAGTGCTGCTTTGAAGTCTCCAAGTGAACGATGAGTGACGCCAAGCCGATGATAACTATCCGCGGTGCTTGCGTGTTCTTCTCCGAACAGTTTAAGACGGATCTCAAGTGCGTGCTGTAGAGAATCTAGTGCTGCTTTGAAGTCTCCAAGTGAATGGCGAGTGCTGCCAAGCTCATAATAACTATCAGCGGTGCTTGCGTGTTCTTCTTCCTCAAGAGGGATTGACAAGCCCAGTGATTGATGTTGGGCTTTAAAGGCTTCAGAATATTTATTTTTCCCGGAGAGGAAGTTTCCAAGATCCATGTAACACGCTGCAAGAGCTTCACTGTGCAAGTGGTAAGCGGAGGAATTTTCTTTGCATTGACTGAGAACTGTTTGATGGTAACTGATTCTTGTTTCAAGGAGCATTTTAATGTCTCCACTTGTCTTAAATAAGGTTATAACATTGCGATGAAAACGAAAGAGACCGCTTGAAACGTGCTGCTCTATTTCGATCTCTTTCAGCATTTTATGCGAAATATTTCGAAGATGTTGCTTATTCTCAGTATCCAAGAAGTTCTTCGTTGCCTTGCTTACAAGGTCAAGTACTTGCCATCTTAGAGGATGGTTAGAAAGAATGTTAGAGTCTGTTTGCTTTTCTTCTACTTCAGTTTTTCTCTCTTTGCTTTTCCATGAGGATATCAAAAGTAGATCCGTGTCTCCTACTGCCTTGCATTCCTTTTTTGCACTGTTCTGCAACTGATTCAACTCGAGCATATAGTTTTGAACTTGGGAAAAATGACTAAGAATTTGGAGAGCAACAAGCCTAAGTACTGCCAAATCTGGGCTCCCATACATCACGTGAAGAGCCTCTCGCAAATACTGAACTCCTTCTTCAGTTTTAGAGCCAGCAAGGTAGTTGATGCCTAAATAACACAGACGTTTTCCTTGTGGTTCTGACTTGGAAACTAATGGCAGGGCCGAGGATTCTGCCGTTTCCTTCGCTCTACAAAGCAATTGCGTCGTACTTCCCTCCGGTCCCCAACATACTTCTGCGAACGCCTTTGAAACCAGTAGTTGATTGTAAGACTCGTTAGCTCCCAGCCTCTTCGCAGCCTCAATTGCTGAATCGTAAATTTTGTCAAAGGTTGATCCCTCTAAGAAATAAAGGTTATCAAGAAATAACTCTCCCTCTGCCAACACCTCAAAAACTGCGCGTGCTGTGATGGGATCAGAAAGAGACTCCAGTAGGCTTTGAACAATGCTTTGCTCATCTTTATAGAATGCCAGAAAGGCCTCCATTGAATGACCAGTGAGATATTTCCTATTCAGTTTCTCAAACACTGACACGTAAAACGAACGCAAACGGTGCTTTGATTTAAGGACCGTGTCCTTCATTTCATTTAGTCCCTTTTCTCTTGCAAATGTTTGAATCAGCTTGTGCATCGTGAAGAAATCTTCCTGCAAACCTGAATCAAGAAGTGACTTTCTCCGAAAGCTTTGCAATATCTTCTTGGTCTGAAAGGTGTTTTTACTCAAAACGGCAGCGGCAACCTCACTACCGAAATTATCAGGAAGAATACTCAACGACACTAGTGATTCTCGTTCCTGTGCATTCAGTCTCTCGAAAGATGAGGAAACAAGAAATTGCAATCTGTGATTGGGAGGATGATCTGCGTTGTCTAACATCTCGATGATACTCGCTGAAGCGGAGTGCTGCATGAATTCATCAAGAAATTGGCCCGGTTGAGCTTTATATTCAGAAATTGAGCAGCACAATAATTTAATTGCTAAGGGTACAAGGCCACAGATTTGCGTGATTCGCCGACACTCCAAAGAACAGACGTTTGAAAGTAATTCCTGAACTAAGATCTGAGCATTGGCTTCTTTCAGTGTTCTTATCCTTACACTCTTGTGGCCTTGAAAATGTACGTTCATAAACTCCAGAGACGCCCTCGTTGTTACTACGATTGTCAACTTTTCATTGCGCCTGAGAATTTCTTCAATGAGTTGTAAAACATCTTCCTTTACTTCTGGGTCACCACTTTCCAACAAATCGTCAGCATTATCGAGAATGAAAAAAGATCGTTCCGAAATTTCGCTTAATAGCTGACAAAGCTGATCATCAAGAGAAAGACGCAAAAACGAGGGCTGTTCATTTATGACAGATCGCCTGATACAGCCAAGAATCTTTGAAGTTAGAGCTGCTTTTGACCTCAGACCACGTAAGGACAACCAACAGACCGGCATTCCCTTGTTTCGGAGATCGTGTCCCACCGCAATTGCAACAGATGTTTTTCCAAATCCAGGTGAACCCCAGATCGTCACCAGCTGGGTAGTATCAGAAGTCAAGTGACCCATAATCTCATCACGTTCGCTTCGACGCCCAGTAAAATAAGGAACCATTTTAGGGAGGGAAGTTGCCAAGGGCGATGATCTCACACCTTTGGACGTAAATAATAAAAATAACAGTCAAATTTGATTTGCACTTTTTGGTGACCAAAGCAAACACAAAGAACACGACTATTTTCATGGCCTCTGAAATCAAAGTAAAAAAGCAAATACATAATGACCAACTATAATATAAAGATGGCAATTTAATTTAACTACCGCCACTGGAAATAACTCAAATACGTGACCGTCCAAATGAAAACTCAGTGCTAATGAAGCGATTTATTCAGTAACCTCTTTATATTCGCAGTTAAGTGGGGGGCAGGTTTGAATTCAGGCAATAGTTAGCAGGCTAGGCAACGGTAGATTTACTTACTTTACTTCGACACAAAGTGACTAGCCCTCGTTAAGCTTTGGATGATAACAATGTGTACCTAGCCTGATTATAAGGCGTTTCTGGGGGAGAGGAGAAGAGAACAGCGAAAAGAAGATAGAGCGAAGGGATAGAAACTTCTTTCCTCTTTCCCCCCTCCCCCATCTAAGATTTCCTCTCCCCGATGCCCCTGATAAGGCCTGATACGTAGGCTAACGTGTACCCCGCTCTGGTATGCATTAATTAACAAGTATTCCTTGAGGCTGAATGAGGGTCTCAATGGGGTGGTGTCTTTTAAGGTTATCGGCTAAAATTTAGGCTCTTTTACGGCTATCGGTTAATTTTTTTCAGTTACGGTTAACAAAAAAGTTAAATATTAATTTCTTATGTTTCAAAGAGTTGAATATTAATAAACCTGTATTTTTTGTATCTTTAAAGCAAAATAAAGGTGTTAGGATCATCTCGGGATGAAATAAGCTATAATTCTTTTGAAAAATTTTAACATTTGATAGATAATACTTTTTATAAACTTCCAATATTGTTTTACACATACTAGGAATGTCAACAGTCAATTTAAAATTAATCTTCGTGAAAAACAAAAGCACACACGCAAACGCCCAACTCGAGGCCGGGGCGCGACATTCATTTATAACAGAAATGGCGGTTTTCGCACTTAGAGACGGATTATCCGTTTGAGACGGGTTATCCCTTTGATAATTCGCGTCAGATTGGTAATACGTCTTAATTTGAAAATGGAATGGTTTTAATTTTGAATGATCGGGAACAATCCGTCTGACTCTATCCGTCTGTTTATCCGTCAATTTTTAGGGACAGTTTGAAGATGGATTATCCGTTTCCGATAGCCTGTGTACAGCCGCCCCCTCCACTCGGAAAAAAATCGGCGAATTGGTGGCTGTGGGGGAGGGGGCGATTGTACACAGGCTAGTCGGCACGCGGATAATCCATTTCTAGCTCTAGTGTGAAAACGGCCAACAATAAAATGCGATCCCGTGGCTAGTATTTTTAATGATAGCGAAGGAAGGTACGGAACGACTGTCTGCCGTTTCCTTTTGCGTAGGCCTCATTATTCTGCCCGGCTAATGCTTTTCGGGTCACGTGGATACGCCACCGAAATGCCTTGACCGAGAAGGCATAGTAAGACGCCGTACAGGGACTAGGCATGGCAATGTCTACCGTAGCGTCAGAGAAAAACAGGTAATTGTTGTTTGTCGGCAATGTGATTTACAAACAGTGACATCTCAGCGTGTTGTTTCACTAGCATTTCGAGGGCACGATCTCCTGAAAATCGCAACTATTAATCCCCAGCAAGAAGCCAGATTTCCGCTTTGCAAAAAATTAGTTCCCCGAGAGAGCGGTGGAAATGGAGCCTAGGTCTATGTCACCACCTAAAAGGCGCTTGGTCTAACGTGCGTACGGAGTCAAATTATCCGGGAAATAAAAAACGCAACCGTAGGCGAGTTTAGCACCTTCCTTAAAGTTAACAAGTATAGGGAACAATTTCTTTTACGGTTAACTCCTTTTTACCCTATTTACGGCTAACGGTTAAAATTTTTCAATTTTTACGGCTATCGACTAAACTTTTGGCCGTTTTACGCCTATCGGTTAATCCCATTGACACCCTCCCGAATGGGCTCTGACCAAGAGAGGATAAAGGGGACAGAGAAGGCACCCCCATACACACCCTATTCCATAGGTAATTCGTCTCGAGTTATTTTTAACACGACAGATCTCAAGGGGGATTAGACAACAACCAATCACATAGCGCGAATGTGTTGCGCCACTCGCCCTTCACGAATTGACGCAGAACAAAATGGCGGAAGACGCGGAGAGCGATATTGCTATTTGTTTTTTCCACGAAAACGGCATGAGAGAGATTTCTGCTAAAGCTGTGTCAGCGAAACGGAAATTAAAAAAGAATCGCCCTTCGTTTCTTGTATAGAGCTAACTGTACAGCAGGGAATCCTTAACACACTGAATATTCTCTCACGATCATTTATAATTTACAGTTTGAAGAGAGTAATTTCTGGTTTGATATTTATTCTTTTATTAGTTTTTCATTATTCAACAAAAATAACACTTGGCGTCCTACTTGCTTTACTGTACAAACGACCGGTTTCAATAGACCGGCGAAATTTCTCATTTTTAAAGCACTGAGGTTACGACAACTTCAAGTTAAACTGATTTCACGGGTTGTCAAAGAGTCCAGCGATTCCCTTTTCCCAGGTGAGCGCCAACTCATTTCGTGTCAATATTCAGGAATACTCTCCATCTCTTTACGTTTTCATTGCCTTTCGCCCGACATGTTTTGCACGGCGTTTAAGTCATGCGAAACCTCCACGGAACAACCACGCAGCACGCGAGGTAACTTGATCCCGATTCTAAAACTAACTCGAGACGAATTACCTATGGAATAGGGTGTGTATGGGGGATGCCTTCTCTGTCCCCTTTTTCCTCTTTTGGCTCTGACTCAATAGCCCATGAGGCCGAAGACCGAATGGGCTATTGACTAAGAGGCCATGAGGGCGAGAGGAATAATTGTTTTAGTAAAATCCAACTAGTTGGTCAAAAATATCGAGAAAAAACAACTTTAGCTAGCAAAACGCAATTCAACCGCCGATTGTTTTGGTTTTCAAAGGCGGCGCTTTTCGCTACTAGTGGGCTATAACATATAGCCTAGTAGTAGCTCATCCAATCAGAACGCAGCATTGATAATAGACCACTAGTTGGATTTTACTAATCGGTAAGACCTTTTCCAAAGGAAAAGAAAGAAACTCGAGACTGAAAAAAAATTAACATATGTCCATTCACTAAAAAGTTATAAAGGTCTAAAATGTGAAATTTCCGCTTACTTACTTTCTATCTTTTTTTTAGCCGATCGCTTGGCATTTCTAGTTCACTTCTTATGTGTTCCAAAAGTAGTCCAATTGAGTGAAATCGATAGCGAAATAGAGGATATTACATGGCCGCGCGGAGACGCAGACCTGCGAACTCTTACGATTCTGTCGTGGGTCTCAAGATTTTTCAACTTTTCTCACGGCCTCACGACAAGACTCCCAATCTCACGGTTTTTTGGGAAATATCATTCTGAAAAAGTAAATGAAATGTTACCTCGTTGAATAAAAACGGAAGTTTCGTGGGGAATGCTAGTGCCTGATTAAGCCTTGATGGGGCTTTGAAACATTTTAGCCATGAAGTTCGCTTATCGCGAAGAAATGCCACTCTTTGTTATAAGTTTCTTCCCAGTGATGACCTGTTCCCTGGCCTCTTAAAGTCATCAAAGTAAAAGCGGCATATAATTAGTTACAGGAGGGACCCGACTAAAGCAAGGAGATATTGGAGATCAATGTTAAGAAGACTAAGGCGATGAAAATCAGTAAAAGGACTGGTGAGGAATTACTATTTTTGTACACTGAAGAAGGCCGTTGAATATATGAAGCATATATGTAAGCGCCAGGAATGTTCTCCGTTACCTTTATAGTATTTTTATGTTCGCCGCGTTCTTAGTTATTTTCGTGTTCGCGCCCTTAGTGCTGTTGCTTGGTTCATTAGTTTCTCATTGTCCGCGTAGCTTTGTCCTTCGTGTTAGGATTTTTCTTCATATCGCATATTTAGCCTTTATTGTAATTTTTCGCGTCAGTTCTTCGTTTAGCTGCGCTTGGTCCGGTTTACAGTTTAATGTTTGGGTTTTTGCTCGTCCTAGTTTTTCGTCCTTATCTCGCTATCGTCTTGTAAGTATCTCGTTTGTTTCATTCGCATTTCTAGATTGCCTTTTTGCTTTCGTTCAGTTTGTAGGTTGTTTTATCTTGACTTTGTATTTGTTTAATTGTTATTTTTCAGTACCGCTGTACTTCGCTATACTTCGCTGTACTTCGCTATACTTCGTTATACTTCACATCGGTTCACTTGTTTCCCTGCACCAGTTGTAGAAGTTCGAGAATAAAGTTTGTGTGTTAAAAACTATAGCGCGTAAAGGCTGCGACTATAATATATGTACGAGACAAGTAAGTTAATAATCCATTCATGGAGTCTCCTGTCGCACTTTGTAATACCTAACGCAATTTTTAATAAAATTGTCGCACTTTGCAATAACAGACCATCGCACTTTGTAATGAAATAAGCTGTCGCACTTTGCAATAACACTATAGTAATCGCAATTCTCACTATTTCAGCTGATCTCAGTATGGGATTCTGGCTCCCGAAGAATCTCCAAACTGGAAAAACCAGTTCCCATATTCTCAAAAACACTCTTTCTTGGCATTACAGGACCTTACAACCTACTTGTATCTGAAAATATATTTTGAGATTTTATAAGTGAAAAATTTGGAAAAAATTAACCGTCAACCGTCAAAGTTATCCCCCCATTGAGACCCTTGTTAAGACCACGTCCACAGTCATGAATCCAGGTAAAAAAAAATGCGGTTTCATGGCTGTCAGATTCGTGTGGAGAGTGATCAACGCCAAATTTTTCTTTGTAATAAAAATTCTTTTTAACACTGACCGGACACGAGAATTAATAGGGACATGATCAGGCAAAATCACTATACTACTTTTACCCGCGGATACGCAAAGATTTCTGATTAAGTGGTTATTTAAAGGCTTAAGCATTCTCTTATTCCTTCCTTGCTTTTCCATATAAGTCGTTTTTATTCTAAGCGACATGGGAGAAAATTACCCTTAGTATCTCCTTGGGCTTTCCAAGATATCGTTACGTCAGTAACAACGGCACAATATAAAAGTGGACACTATATTATATATAGTGTGTACTAAACAAACCTACCTTTGATAAGATTATCGTCGTTTCCTTGATAATGAGGCCATCTTTTGAAGACAACATCATCATTTAAAATCTTGGCAACTAGAGAAGCGGCATTAGCACTTGCAAATTCGCTCCATTTTTCATTTCTGCTGTCTCTTCCATCTGCATAACTAGAAATTCCCTTTACAACAAGCCACTCAACTTGGAGGTCAAATGCAGCTGTGTAAAGTCCTGCAACAGAAGCAGCGGCACCACTTATAAATGGGACCATTGAGTATAGGTAAGAAATGAAATGAATGGCAGGATAACAAATTAAAAGATGCGTCCTCACAACCTGTAAATTTTAAAAACCTCAAAGTGTAATTAAGAAATTAAATGAATGACAGGATATCAAATTGAAAGGTGAGTTCTCAAAAAAACCTGTGAATTCTTAAAAACCTTGAAGGTTGAACAGATTATCGAAAAGGTGAGCCTCTGACTGGGTGTTTTTGACAAAATCGAAGTCACTATGATCGGCATTAATGAAGCGACGATCGTACCGGCATTTCAATCAAGTTTGATTGCGCGCTCGTTAAATCTCGCACTCGTTTTTAAACCTTTCATTACCTTCGGCTTCGGTGTCAACGGCCACTGCCAGAGGAAAGGTTTCAGCCAGATGTTTACGCCGCGATTCTGTGTTGATTACTTCTGGAACGCTCAACAGCTCACCCTTGCTGTGAATTTTGACTTCTCGATCTTCCGAGTTCTCCAAAGGAGCCTCCCAGCCAAGAGCTGAATCCTTAATGAGGTCAAGAAATCGTTTGCTAGCAAACGTTCTTATGTTATTGTGCAGCTCTTTATCATTTGTCACAACTTTCAATCCATATGTTGTCAACTTTGCAGAAATCACAACATCACCCAATTTGGTTTCCTCAGGACGGAGGCTACCGCACGTTCCCACTAAAATAACTGCTTTGGGCATAAGCACTGAGACAGCATTTTTTGTAGTTACCATGGAGCCGCAAGGACCACTAGAACCTTCATGGCATCGCAACAAAGCAACTTTTACTTTCTCCTCTTGGCCTTCTTTCTCGTCCTCGAAGTAAACAAAACCGAGACCATCGAACCAACATCTGAATGGATTGTTCAGGTGCGTATAACAAGCTAAGAACTCACAGTCCTTTACAGTCAGTAACAAAATATCGACAGGAAGGCGTGCATGATTCCGATGCTTTGTTGGTAATTGGATATCACTCATGCGGGGAAGTTTAACACTAAGCTGGGGCGGGTCTCTACTGGCGTTGCAGTGTTCCCTCTTAGTTCCCCTGTTTGCCCCATCTGAGATATCTTCTTCTTGTGAGTTGCTGCCAAAGTCCATGGCGGCCAGGTTCGACATTTTGCTCAATTTAGACTTGAGAAGTCAAAATATATGGATCTGGCGTATAAAGGGTACATACATTGTCACGAGTTTGTCCAGGAAAGGTTTGATTCAAAATAGTTAATGAAATTATTAAATAAGCCACTTCCGAGTTCCAAAAACCCTCACTTTCAAAATGAGGCTATGTGCACAACCCTACTTGTGAAAATGAGTTTTATTTGCATGGGAATGAAAAATGATTTCCATATCAAAGGCTGAGCACCTAACCTCGTTTTCAAACAGAGGCCCGGGGGAACTCGAAAATGGCCTATTAAAATAGTATCACCCTTACCTGATTAGCCAGCACTTTATATAGGTAGATGTCAGAGATGTCAGATGTCTTTGAGTAGATGTTGTGCAGGTTCGGTTTTACCTTTAGTTCAAATTTTACTTTTCTTAGTTTGAAACTCATCATTACACGTAAACGCACTCAAAAACAAAGGAAAATAAGACCCCGTTCACACTAGCCTCCCACGCAGACGCTCTTTTGGCTCGTCACGCAACCCAGGAACGCGTGACGAACCCGCTCTAAGAACGTCTGCGTGCGAGGCTACGTCCACACGAATTCTAGTCTCGTCTAAGGTACAATGCCAACGATTTTCGGTTGAGTTTTTCACATTGTATTACCAAGATATCTCGATCATTCTATTTTAAAACGTCTCCTGAAAATTTCTGTATAAAGACGAAATATCCCAGAGAAGTACGGCTACTCTGTGTCCTCGATCTTTCGACGGGACCCAACACAAAGGACGGTAACCATTGTTCTTACCCCATACTGAAACACCGAAAAATCAAAGTTTGGGAAGCAAAAAGTCTACATCAATTTATTTTTGTTGGATTTTCCTGGTTTTTTCGCAGAACTGAATATTAGCCCTCCTTTAACTACAAAAAGCCGCTCTTTGATATAAGAAAAGTAGACTATAGGTATTTTAAAATGGCGATTTTCGTGAGGTACCTTCGCCCAAATCCTCCCTTTCCTCTAGGGCGTCGATAACTGAGCCGGCATATGGAACATTCTGAAACATCCCGGAACATAAAAAAATTAAAGTAATTTCCATGAAAAAAATGAAATAAAATAATAATAAAATAATTTTTGTTAACTACTTTATAGTAACAAAGTAAATAACATAACATATCATAACATAACATAAAAACGAAAAAGAAAGAGAGAAAGAAAAAGAAACTGGTATCATCACCGAGTATGAGAACAACATTTTGTCACAATTAATTTGTTGGGCGAGTGAGGGTCCATGCAAATGACAGTAAGTGAAGGCTTGCCTCTAAATTCAAAATATATCAAAATGGGTCGTGAGGTGATGCGAGGGGGGGGGGGGCGGTTCAAGCCGATGGTCTGAATGCCGCTCGACCAAAGGCCAGGCTACCATATTATAGGAAATGAACGCTCCATGAAATTAAGGTATTGGAAATTAACGCGACTTAAATTAACGCGAATTTAATGGAAAACGACTCTCGAATAAAGAAAATTAACGCGAAAGAGGAGGTAGAATTTCATAATAAAGGAAATTAACGCGATTAAGACACAGTTGGTGGTGACAACTGGAACAAATTTATTTCAACACTGGATGTAAACAAAATTCAAAACTGAACAAAACTGAGCTGACATCACTTCTGACAGCGACAAAGATGAAGATGAATTCGAAATATTGTAAACCTTTGCCTTAGCTTTTGTGAAAGATGAAAAATAAAAGGTAAATGGAAAGAAAGAAAGCTTGTAGTTAATGTTTTTTAGGTCTAAAGAATGTCTGGACAGGTTCCAAAATTGGGGGTTAAAATACTGGAAATTAAGAGCGCGGAAATTAACGCTGCACTTAATTAACGTCGCGGAAATTAACGCTCAACAAAATTAATGTGACTTAAATTAACGCGAATTTTAACGATTCGCGTTTATTTCATGGAACGTTAATTTCCTATAAGGTATGTGCTGAAACGCTGTCCCCTCGATCCCTATATTTCGAGCCCAAGCCCAATTTATCGAAGACACTTGAAGGTTTGCTTATGCGACTTGTCAAGTTATTGTAAACACTATACTAATTCTTAGCTAAATTCACTGAATATTACAGTATCATTTTTTCCTTGTTACGGTGTCCAGGTCAAAGGTGAATAGAAAGAAAAGGAGCCTGTCTTTGTTTGTTTGTTTGTTTTGCTTTACCAGTATTTTGTTTTACCTGTTTTACCCGGCAAAATAAGTTAATCGCGGAGCACGTTGAGTGTCATGTCTGGAGTCTGAAACAGGCCGAGGAAGTCGTCGGAGGGGGAGATGATACCAGTTTCTTTTTCTTTGTTTGTTTGTTTTTTCGTTTTTACAAAAATTATTTCATTATTATCATTTTTTTATTCATTTTTTTTTTTCATGAAAATTATTTTTATTTTTTCATGTTCCGGTATGCTCCGGAATGTTCCGGAATGTTCCGTGTTCCGGATTTTATCGACGCCCTCTCTTGCTGTGGCGCTTTTGAGGAGCGTTCATGCTTGAGTGGCCCGCCACTGAAGCTCATTATCATGCGTAAGGCTTGATTTCCACTGTTGGGTAATTTTTACGTGCGTACGTGCGTAAAATTTACGTTCGCAAATAAAATAGAGGCAATGTGTGAAAGGTCGCACGTAAGCGTAAAAGTAGAACCTCGCTCAACTTCACGTTTATTCTCAACACTTTATATCTTGCCTCTATTTTATTTATGTGATTAAAATTTTCGTGCGTTAAGGTCTGTGAACGAACCTTAAATGTCCGGATGATCTGCCCGATGTAAAACTTTAAAGTCGACTTAACTTCCCCTAAGACATCGGAGAAAATTAATAGTTTTTAAGGCATCAAGTTAACCAAACAGGCTTCTAAAGCATGCATACAGAAAACTATTCGAAACACTTCTGATATATTTGGAAACATTCGGTATTTGCGGGCCCCTGTTTTTCACGTTTCCTATATGAACCCTATAAATCCTTACGTCATGCAATATTACTACGTATGACATGTGTAAATATTTTTAACAAACGTTCTCACATGGTGAGTTTGGGAAGCTTGTGACTAAAATCTTAAAACTGGTATGACCTACCTTAAAGACATTTGATGAAAATTCAAAGCACGATATCAATGAGCTGATCCCACGGTCTCTAGATTTTCGTTTTTGTCGAGGAAAGAATGAATTATGCTCGATTACTGCTTTTGCTTCTACGCCAGCCTACAGGAACTTGAAAATTCCACAGCTACGAGGTCCTGAACAAATAAAAACAGTCGACTGTTCATATTCTTGGTGGACCATTGATCTAAGTATATATAGCGGTATGTTATTCAAGAGTACATTGGAATAATACGGACACCAGCAGGATGATACCAAAGTGTCGTCGTCCGTATTAGAGCAAGCTCTATCGTCATGGACTCATGTTTTATCGATATAAAGACTAAAACAGGCAAAGACGACGCAGTCTTCAATTTTTGCACTAAACAGCAAAACAGCAGTGAAAATACGTAGAGTCCTCGAAAGTCCTCTTTAGGTGACGTCTTAATTAGAAGTTGGATGTAAACACGCTCACTTACCAAAACTGATGAAAGAAGTGTTGCTTCACATGTCTATGGTTGCTATTTCTTAGCTATTTCTTGGTTTCAGGGTGCACAAATGCATAATGGGTTTCCTGTAGGGAATCGGTAACCGGTAACGAATAATCTAAAATCGCCCATACCAAGTAACAACTTCCAATTAGTTACACCATTCCTAACTCGAAATCCTAACTATAGGCACCCTCTCAGAGAATTAAAGCGTCCGTTCAAACAACAGGTTTTCCATTAATTCAATGTTCAAGGCTCATCATTTTCTCCTTGGAAATCGTTGACGTTTCATGCCGTATTTATTCTCCTAGCCTCTTTCCCTTTTTCCAAAAGCAAAAACACTGAATTTTTTTAATAGGTCCAAAACATATGTTAAATTGCGTCGAGTATATTTATATAGTCAACACAAATATGAAGGTCATGGAGCCACAACCTGGCTAAAACTTGGTTAGTTTTTGCTTATATCAAGTGCCAAAAATATAACTGTTTCGCATGAGACATCAACAATTTTTTTACGAAGCCTGTCGCATGTTCCAACCATTACTGATTTGCTAGTTTTTTCACCCGCCGAAAAAATAGCGGGTGAAACAAGAACCGAAAAAAGCGTCTGAGGTCACCGCAGGCTACTTCTCTCCGGGCTTGCCCTTCAACTCGGTTTATAGAAAGATGGTTTACTTGATCAGGGTAACTTTTGAAAAGGACATACCAGTTATTTATTTTAGATTCACTCATCTATCCTAGTTATCGAGAAATAGATATGTCTCTTTTCTCAAACTTATTACAAAGTAAAGCTGAAAGTCGCTAACCTGGCTGCTTTACACGTCGACTATGACTTCGCAGTGTGAAACCCCTCTGAAGAGGACTTAAAATAAATGCCTTTGTCTGTATTCAAAGGATTATTTTGCTTCTTCTTCGATTCATGAGCTGTTCATCATTTCAATAGCGGCTGACTGAGTTGCTTTCTATGATGATGCCTAGCATTCAATGTCAGTCTTCGATGGCATTAAGCCTTCGCTGCCCATTTAGCAGACCGAGAGCAGATTAATGCAACTACTTTCAGCTGATTGTTACGGTTCTTGGTCAGCGAATATTCATATGTATTTTACTTACAATTATTACCTACCTGTAAGATATTAGATGGAAATTAAGATCACAATTTCAATGAGATGATCCCGCTAAATTGTCCTTGTTGTCGGGGGATAGATAAAAAGCACACACTGCCACAGTGGACAAACCAGAGCGCGTTCCCTTCGTTATCACCTACAACGTAGCCTCCCACGCAGACGTTTTTGGGTTTCGTCACGCGTTCCTGCCCCACAAACGTCTGTAGAATCGAGTGGTTAAATTCCTTTGCCATTGTTAGCAAATATCAGCTGGAGCTCAAGTGCAGATTATCGGAGAACCAATCGCTGTTGAAGTCAAAGTGTTGACAAGACAAACACATATGTAAAAGCTCGGTAGAGTGTGATACGTACAGCAAAGAGTTTAGCTCCGGACACGGATATTTAGATGATCACTGTAATGCTTTAATGCATTTAATGGTGAGTTTTCGACGCGACTTGTGTACTTGAAGTGTACACTCCGAATGAATACATATTATGTCCTACTCGAGTATGTATCTAGAGTATATGCTAATAAACACTTAGCCCATGGGCATACAAACAATGCTATTATACAATACATGCTGATTAGGTTTAGAAGAAAAAATGCAGTGCTGCACAATACTGCACGGGCTTATATAACATGCTTTTAAACACTAATAAACATGCCTTATAAAGAAAAAAAATCAGTCCTTCAAACCTTAGAAAAATAAAGTCGTTTTCATAGGACTATTCAACTTCTGAAAGCAAAGGAAACGAGTAAAGTCACTGAAAACGGGGATTGCTGTCAAAAAAAATAGTAGTCAAAGATTAAGTCTTTCCGGTGCTCGGATTTCGCGACCCGAGCAAGATTTCGTTCGGCCTCTTATCGGTTTCTGCCGGAGTGGGAGCTCGTGAGTCAACGCTTGAAGTCATTGGCATTCTGAGTGTAGTCGTACTTCCTTATGGGATGCTGGTCGGCGAGTTATCTGCTGGATTGTTGGATGCGTTGTTCGGTAGGTGAACACCGGTCTCGGTTTCCACAGTACAGGGGCACCCAAAGACTCTGATCTTTTCTGTAAAATATCTCATCGGAGAAGCAGATGTGGCCTAGACCTATCTATTACTTGAGGACGGGTATTTATTTCTAGATGACCGTTTCCTTCATGTACAATTTTCGAAGTTCATGTAATAAATTCCCTACGATTTTCTAAACTCTAATTTTTCACATTTCACTCTTATTTTTCGTAGAAAAAAGGAAACCTAAGATTTCGGATTCAAAAATGTGATGGAGAGAGGAATCAGTAAACTTCTCACTTTCGTAATACAGTAAACTGCATCTAAAATTTTTGGGAAAGTGGTAATAATGAAGCCTTTGTAATTTCAAGTTCTAAACGAGGTATGTGGTGAAAGGGGTATCATTCTTCAATAGAAGGTATGTGAAAGGGATACCGTCTGCACCATTTCGCTAACCATAAATTATAGCTGTTCGGGCAAAGAAGAAAAAAGGAGCCCCTCTTTTCTCCCCTTGTCCCCCAAAGAAAAAGGGAACAACCTGATTGCAGGTTTCCAACAGTGATAAAAAGAACGAACAACACAAACGCAGTTTATTTATTGCAAGTGTCAATCAACTGCATAGGACATGGAGACGGGACCGTCATTTCGCCACGTGGTCATTCGGGCGAGTCAGTCGTGCCGGTTATGCATTATCATGCACAGGAGCTCCTGTCATGCATGATTTTTTTTTCTTTCATATATTTTCTCAGTGATTTAGGGCCTGTTTACATGAAGGTGGGGGACACCCCGTAGGTGAGGTAACCCGCTTAAGGTGGGGTAATCCACCTGACCATATAATCTCCCATTTTAATTTGATCACGTTTACATGATACGTGGGGTGACCTACCACATGTTACTTCACCTATCTGGGGTCCCCCACCTCCATGCAAACAGACCCTTAATAATCTATTCTGTATCCCTGAGTCTATGAGACATGCCTGTATTATTTGATCATATACATAAATATTTAAATTTTTTGAATAAAAGTTAACAGATTGACCTTCAAAAGATGGTAACGACTCCTACATGCCTCTATTTCGGCACTAATTTCTTAGTTGAAGAGGATAGCTCCTAATGTTGTTATGAGGTCTGGTTTATTGTATGGCTAGCGAGGTGGACACGATTTTAGGAAGGACTAGCAGATTTTTCAACAAAAGGATCAGGCAAGTGTCTTCTCTGATCGCCTTTTTTCGTTATCACGTTTATTCCTTGCAATTTTAGTTACATTACGATAACAATTTGTCGTTCTTTCAAGTTTTTTTTTAGTTCTTATTGACCTTGAACTCGTCTCGGTTTATAAATACAAAAAAACAAAGAAACTTGGCCAATTTATAAATACAAAAAAACAAAGAAACTTGGCCAATACCAAGCCATGGACCTACTACTGGTTGAATTCTTAAAGATTTTTTATATGAACCAACGCATGGAACGGTCATCTAGAAATTTTTAACCTTACAGCGTAATAAAAAGTATCACAGGAAAGTATCATGACCGCTTGGGTAGCCAATAGGAGCTAGCCTGTTCCAGGCTCCAAGATGGTGGTGAAAAGTCGTTCAGTAAAAAGAAATGCGGAAAACGCGCGCGGGCTGGGGAGAGACAGTGGGCTGATTTAGCAACAGAACGGGAACGTCAGTTTTCGACGGCGCGCGCAAAACAAACACTGGACGAAAAAATGGATTTGCTTCAAAATTGCTCAGCGCAACCATGATTCAAATTTTTGCAAACTGGGGAATAGATCTGAGCAAAGGTGGTACCCAGTTTGCACAAATTTGCATCATATTTGCGCTTAGCAAATTTGAAGCAAATCCACGTTTTCGTCCAGAGAAACGACTGGCTTGACCAATGGCAGAGCGGTAAATTGAGCACCGGAAGTTTCCTTTCTGCGCGCTTTCCCGTAGTCAACTGACGTTCCCGCCCTGTTGCTAAATCAGCCTTTTTTCCCGCCGCCACTGCGCCCTTTCCCAAGTCGCGCGCGTCTTATTTTCGCTTTGCTCGTTTTTAATAATACGTCCCCACCATGCTATCTGAGAGCCTGGCAGAGGCTGATAGGAGCAAACGATTCGCTCCATCTTGCCCCAGTATCCAGCCATTGTGACCGTCCAAGCTTGTTTAAAACACAAACATATTGTTGCCTGGCTCTACTCCAAATGTTTTCTATCTGCTTTATCCCTGTCTTTTTTTTTCTCAAAATCGGTTGTTAAAGGCTCGGAGCACCACAGGCAGCCCAATCTCAGTATAAGAGTTTTTAAAATCATTAAAAAGTGGTATGATATTGCGTAATCCCCAAATGGCCGTGAACATAAAGGATTTGTTTGGGAATTCAGGTCATAGACTCCAAAAGGAAAATAGTTGCTGGGATTTTCAATAAAAAGCACTTTACCTTATTTACTTGGTTTGTTCTTACTTGCTGTGTGGTTATTTTCCCGATCCGCTGCGATTTTAAAGCGATTTCCATTAATCTCGAGTTTCCACTAAGAGTTTCTTATGTTATTCGTGGAAAGTCGGGGGTAAAGAAAATCACTTAAATCGCAGCGGATGGGGATCTAACCACACAGCAAGCAAGAATACACCAATTAAATAAGCTGAAGTGTTTTTTAATTGAAAATTCCAGTAATAATTATTGAATCTATGACCTGAATTCCCACACAAATCCTTTTTGTTCACGGCCATTTGAGGATTACGCAATATGCATGAGACCATGGTGAACCTTAGCGGCTTACCAACATAGTTACTATGTTTTGTTTTATGGCTTCTAATATGCGATATTATTTTTTTAATTTGGTCTGTTCTTGCGAGACATTAATTTCAATGAGAGCGGTGCCACAACCTCGAAGATAAAACGTAATTTAGACACATCACAAAACTACCTTCTTTTTCAGTCTTCCTGGCACATGGAAATCGTCGGCAAATGAATGACCCGTTTCCCCCCATTTCTTATTCAATGCTATTAAGAGTAAAACGAGAATTATACACGTCGGTCTTTTTTGGACCAAAAACAACATTGAATAGGGGGTGGGGAGGAGGCCTTTTCGTTCCGTTCTGTTTAAAGGGAACAGTAGTAATGCACAAATGTTTGGAAACTGGTGAAACTGTCTCAACAGTTTTGTCCGAGGTTGTAGCTCCCGTGAGCGGCTATCAATGCTGGATCGTTCTTGGATCAGCTCCAGTAATAAGTCATTTTCTGAATCCTGGGAGGTTCAGCTAGCAGGAATTTTGAATGTTGTTTCAAACAACGAACCTACAATAATGCACGTATCAGCGACCATCACTGGGTGTCGACCTCTGGGGCATGCGCGGGCATACAGCGGGATTTGTTGACATTTGCTGCCAATTTTATCCCTGGATGGGAGAAGTGGATCGCTTAAGCACTTTTGTAGCATATTCTTCTAAGAAAGACCTGCGGAATTTGTAATGCACCAAGCGGCGAAGACCAAAGCGTTCCAAGATGGCGGGAATCCTTGCAGAAGGCGGGTCTAGAGTGAAATCCAGGAAGGTGTGAAATTGCTTAAGCGGATAACAACATGCCACTTGCCTCTTTTTAGTTTGTTTTTACATATAGTACACGGCCTTAGCTTTGGCTTCACTTTTTACACACATTACATAAACATAGATACTTAAAATACAGAAGAAATACACAAAAGAAACAAACTAATTAACATATTGATAGTATAAAGGTTGCTAGACCGGATATTGCGTACTAGAATAAATTTTTTCTTTTGTCTTTTGGAATCTGTTCATATTGGATTTTATTAAAAAGCAGGGGAAAAAGGAGAGTTCACTCAAATAAACGCCTTTTCTGAATAATTTTTCTCCTGATTTTCTCCGTTTCTTTAATGATTGAAATTTGTTTTTCAATTATAAAGTTGTCTTTAACTTGATAAATATATAATTCTACAACAGATGGTTTTGAACTTTTGTATTTGCAACCAAAAATATAAAACCTAGCCAAGAGTAGACAATGACTAAATAAAACATCTCCTTCTTTACCTGGATCAAAACAAAATCAAACCAAATCAACTGAAACCAAGAAAACTTTGACATTATTCCAAAAAGCTCTTGACACGGGACAATCCCGAAAAAAGTGAATAAGCGCTTCTTTGCACGGGTTTCTTGATTAAAGCAACAGAGATCGATATCTGCAGCTTGAATCTTAAATAAAAATACATTGGTCACAATTCTTCTTTAAGGGAATTTAAACTGAAAGTTTCGGTGAGTTTCGTGCTTAAAGTACATTTCCTAGGTAATAATTAATTGGACCCCCAGTCGAATTTTTCATGATCTTTCTACAGGTAACCTAACTAAGACCTCATGAATACCCTGTACAGTACTTTAAAAATCAGAAATTCAGATGAGATGAGCCAATCGTTTAAATTGACTTAAAGATTTAGCCTCGCTCATATCACAGAGCAGGCTGTTACAGAGAACTGCTCCGCTATAACTGAAGCTGTTCTTCATGAAGTTAGTTCGCGGGAACGGGACAATTAGTTTGTTAACAGAGTCCCTTAGGGAGTAGCGCGTTTCATATCGCCGTTTAACAAATTTTGGGCCTGTTTACGTGGAGGTGGAGGACCCCAGGTAGGTGAGGTAACTCGCTTAGGTGGGGTAGCCAGCCTGTCCATATAATCTCTCATTTTAATTTGATCACGTTTACATGCTGATAGGTGGGGTGACCCGCCAAGGCGGGTAGCCCGGCCTACCAGACCGGGTTAAAACTCAGAGCCGGGGTCAAATTTTGCCATGTAAACGTTTCAAGGTGAGGTAACCCGCCTAACCGGGGTCGGATTCGTAATACATCAAATTCGCGCAAAATTCATTTTGCATGTGGCTTTGCATCATCATTTAAGTTAACAATAGAAAGCCATTGCACTGAAGGTTGCAGCAAGAGCAACAAGGGAGTGTAGAAGTGCATTAATCGCCAAAACTCGTGGTTTGCCAGCATTTTTCTTGTTTACGTGCTTAGCGACCATTCAATAATCTTGAGAAAGTGCACCCCGGGATGGCGGAGTTGTAAGATTGCATGTAAAGGAGGGTTATTTTTTACCCCACCTAAGCAGGTTACCTCACCTACCTGGGGTCCCCCACCTCCATGTAAACAGGCCCTTAGAGGATAAATATCCTCGAACAAAAGACTTGTAAACCATTAGAGCTTTTTGTATTGAAACTGAGTGCTCAAGTCTTTCCAATTAAGTTGTCTAAATAAGCGGTTGGCATCAGCATCATATCTAGAAAAGGTTAGAACACGAGCAGCACGGTTCTGAGGCTTCTGTAGTCCGTCAAACAAAGTTTTTCCACAATTACCCCAGACAATATTACAATAATCGAATTGAGATTGAATCAGAGCGTTGTATATACAATGGAGAGTAGGCGACGGAACAAAATTTCTAATTGTTTTAATTGCTCCTATCCCGGAAGCGATCTTCTTCGATAAGTTATCGATGTGCGCTTGCCACCGTAGATTTTCATCAATAAACATTCCAAGCGATTTTACAGAGGTAACTTTTTCTATCGGAACGTTATCAATCGAGAGCTCGGGCTGGCTTGACAAAGTACTCAATTTTTGTCCTGATCCAATTAGCATAAATTCAGTTTGAGCAGTGTTCAAAGTAAGTTTGTTGGAAATAAGCCATTTGTTTAGATTACCTAAATCGTGATTCAAATTAACTGTATTGAATCTGCACAAGTGATGTGTGTGTCATCAGCATACATCCTTGGCTGGCATGAAGTTAGGCTGTTGGCAAATCGTTGATGTAAATAAGAAATAAAAGGGGACCAAGAATTTTTCCCTGAGGTGCCCCGCATTCAAGAGAACAGACTCTACAAAGGGAACCCTTAACGAGACATCGTTGTGTACGATTTGTCAAATACGACCTAGAGCAATTCCTTGTATTCCGTAAAGGTTCATTTTAGATAAAAGGATATCATGATCAACAGTGTCAAATGCCTTTTTTAAATCAAGAAAAACCACAGCATTAACATTACCACGATCGATATTAAAGGGCCAGTTATCAGTAGCTTCAAGGAGAGCAGTTAGAGTTGAGTGTGAAGAGCGAAAGCCCGATTGATGCGTAGAAATGATATCTTCATTGCTCAAAAAATTATACAATTGGTCACAAATAATCCTTTTGAAAACTTTAGCTACAACGGAAATGACTGAAATAGGTCGATAAATATTTAGATCAGATGCCTCACCTTGCTTAAACAACGGAGTAACCCTAGCACATTTCCAATCGTCAGGAAATATACCAGCAGAGTGCAAAGATTTCGAGATCACATAGAGAAACTGAAATCAGATCGGCACATTCACGTATTATTATGTAGATCTTTGGATCTACATAATTTGTTTAGATGTGAGAAAACAATACTACTGCTTGTAACTTAAATCATTATTATTATCATTTGGTGGAATTTCATTGGCATGGCGGGGCCCAATTGTTGAAAAATGGTCATTAAAAGCCTTAGAAAGCTCACTAGAATTAGAAATAATGGAACCATTCGACTTAAATTCTTTCACTGTTGTATTGTTGGTGCGACAGGAAGTAAGTTCGTTAATGGTTTGCCATGTTTTTCGAAAATTACCTTTAGATTGACTAAAAGCATTAGAATAATAAGATGCTTTAGAAGTCTTGATGTTATTGTTTATTGTATTTCGCAACTTTTTGTACTTTGCCCAGTCGCCTAGATCATTCGATGCCATAGCTTTTCTTTTGGTAGCATCACGATCGCGCATGCCTTTCTTTAATTCTGAATTGATCCAGGGTGTTTTTTTTTATTCAAGCGCGTCTAGTTCGGAGTGGAGCATGAAAGTTAACAACATCCAAAAATTTTGTTTTCCAGTCAGCCCACAAAACATTAGGATTATCAGAGCTGTTACAAGTTCAGTTCTGCTGAGCGATATCGGTACGAAAACTCTCTCGATTAAAATTTTTAAAATTTCTGTAAGAAATGGTTGAATGCCCTTTTGAGCGAAAAACAGGAGATAATTTTCAATAAACATAAATAAGGCTGTGATCGCTGATGACAATATGAGAGACTCCGGAACAGATTACCCTGTCAGCATAGTAGAGTAGGTTCAGTTATAGGTTGTTAAAGCCCAAATAAATCAGAAATTTCACATAAGTGACGAATATTTGAATCATATTGTAAAGAGGCCAGGTTACAATTTAAATCAATTAAAAGATGATATTCAGGACCAAGGGAATCTAACTTTTCAAGAAATGATTCGTAATATACAATAAGTTAATCGAAGAGCAAAGAGGTCGATACCATGTAGCTATCAGAAATGGCTTTGAGTTATGTTTACGAATTTTAATACATAAATTTTCAAGATTAGGTACATTTAGATTAGAACAAACTACAAAATTAATCGAGGTTTTTTTTATATAACAGCCTACTCCTCCGCCTTGTATGTCTGTTTCTATCACGACGAATAAATTCATAGCCTGGTATATGGACCTCACTGCTTTTGATAGTGTCATCAAGTTTAGTTTCATTAATTGAGATAATATGGATAGAATAATCAAAAAGGAGAATTCTCAATTCATCAATGTGATTAGTTAGACTGTTGATGTCCAAATAGGCTTTTCTAAGACCTCGTCTAAAAGGAATAAAATCAGAAATACTATTATGTTGATTGGAAATAGGAGAGCTAAAATACCTTTGAGAGGTTAACGTGGGCATTTCCAGTTGCGAGCTGGAATAGGACAGTTTCCTAGCTCCATTAGAAGCTTTCCCAGTCGTTGAATAGAAGGAGACTGAAAACCCTTACCACACTTATTAGGGTTTGAGGGCATTAAAAATCGTTCTATAGGACAAAACTGTTCTACCCAACTATTTTTGGCCTACAATTTATAGGTACAGCAGGGGGCGGATCCAGTGGGGTTGGATTGGGTAGCTAGCCACCCCTTTTTAGGACAGCCCACCAAAAAACATGTAATACGTGGAAAGACATACAGAAATACGTGGGTCCCAAAGCAATCGAGAAAACTACGTACTGCAGCATAGTCAGCTGCACAGTTCCTTGACGTAATCTGCTTTGGAACAGAGGGTACATTATGACTTAGCTCTGTGCTCTTATTCCTCAAGTAATGAAGACGTCTCAAGAAGCCACAGTAGAACTCAGACGCGGATCTACACCGGTTTCCAACTTTTCACGAAAATCGGTCAGATTTTTCATAAATAAGTAAATATATTTTAAATATCAAAAAATCCAAGTGGAACTTTTGCAAATATCCTATCTGAATGACTCAAGAAAGAAAAAAACCCAAGATAGGGAACTTTAGGGAGTTAAAATCCAAAACATGTACTGGGGAAGCATGCCCCCAGACCCCCTTCTAAGCTTGGGCCGTCGGCGCTCGTTTAGGAATTCCGTTAGTATTTATCCTAGATCCGCAGTCGGAACTTGCTTAAGTAATACAAGAGAAGTGGGGCCATCTGATGCCTTGCCGTCATCTTTCGAAAATCAGGAACTGTGTGGGCTGGAAGCGTCAGGAAGCGTGTCGGATTATGAATCCATCTCGGTCTCCTCACAGATAGACAACACGCAGACCACATCTCCTTCCCAAACGACAGGGAACTTCTAAAAATTCTCTCCGTTTTGTCTATGGAAAGCACGGAGGCCGAGAAATCATTTTCCTGTATTCGGAGAATCCATACTTGGCTTCGCAACACAATGACCACCGAACGACTCTCAGATTTGGCCGTCATCGCCATGCATGCCAAAGCAGTTACCATCGATAGAAGTGTGGTTTGTCAGAAATTTGTGGTGCTACACCCTAGACAAATGACAGCGTCTTCACTTCTGGCCGACTAGGTTAGTAAGGTATTTCTATTAGCTTCTATTTCTTCTCAGTTTTTGTGGCGTTTCAGGAGTTTGCAGTGTTACAGTCTCCAATTCGTCCTTCTTAAATCGCCATGTTTTGGAACAGACGTAGGACAACTTAAAAGAAATTAACGTATGGTTTGGTGGCTGATTGGTATCAGCCATCCCCCATTAAAAATCCTGGATCCGCTCCTGAGACCAGTTTGTGAGTTGTCTCTTTTTAGCGTTGAAATAGACCAATCTAATTATCATTATATATAAACTCATATACTAAAGAATGTGGGGTTGAAACTGGCCGAAGACCGAACACAGTGACAGCCGGTATCAACGGTGTTGACCGTTAGCAATTCTCAGTTTCAGTAAATCTTGGGAGGTCGCCAAGTTAGAGGAGCCGTGTAATGTAAAATAACCAACCCATATGTCTCGGTTTAATCAGGACCTGCCTGCTTTTCTCCCGCTTCAATCCGGACGTGAGGTGTAAGCTTTGCTGACTCTAATGCTCCTTCCAAATCACCAAGAAAAAGTTTAGTAAAGAAAAGGGACCCATAACTATTAGCGGTGCTTGCGTGTTCTTCTCCGAACAGTTTACGACGGATCTCAAGTGCGTGCTTCTTAGAATCTAGTGCTGCTTTGAAGTCTCCAAGTGAATGGTAACTGACGCCAAGCCCATGATAAATATCAGCGGTGCTTGCGTGTTCTTCTCCGAACAGTTTAAGACGGATGTCAAGTGCGTGCTTCTTAGAATCTAGCGCTGCTTTGAAGTCGCCAAGTGAATGGTGAGTGACGCCAAGTCCATGATAACTATCAGCGGTGCTTTCGTGTTCTTCTCCGAACAGTTTAAGACGGATCTCAAGTGCGTGCTGCTCATAATCTAGCGCTGCTTTGAACTCTTCAAGTGAATGGTGAGTGACACCAATCCCATGATAACTATCAGCGGTGCTGGCGTGTTCTTCTCCAAACAGTTTAAGACGGATCTCAAGTGCGTGCTGCTCAGAATCTAGCGCTGCTTTGAAGTCGCCAAGTGAATGGTGAGTGACGCCAAGCAAATGATAACTATCAGCGGTGCTTGCGTGTTCTTCTCCAAACAGTTTAAGACGGATCTCAAGTGCGTGCTGTAGAGAATCTAGTGCTGCTTTGAAGTCTCCAAGTGAATGGTGAGTGACGCTAAGTCCATCATAACTATCAGCGGTGCTTGCGTGTTCTTCTCCGAACAGTTTAAGACGGATCTGAAGTGCGTACTTCTTAGAATCTAGTGCTGCTTTGAAGTCTCCAAGTGAATGGTGAGTGACGCCAAGAAAACGATAACTATCAGCGGTGCTTGCGTGTTCTTCTCCGAACAGTTTACGACGGATCTCAAGTGCGTGCTTCTCAGAATCTAGTGCTGCTTTGAAGTCTCCAAGTGAATGGTGAGTGACACCAATCCCATGATAACTATCAGCGGTGCTTGCGTGTTCTTCTCCGAACAGTTTAAGACGGATCTCAAGTGCGTGCTGGTCAGAATCTAATGCTGCTTTGAAGTCTCCAAGTGAATGGTGAGTGACTGCAAGCAAATGATAACTATCAGCGGTGCTTGCGTGTTCTTCTCCGAAGAGTTTAAGACGGATCTCAAGTGCGTGCTGTTCAGAATCTAGTGCTGCTTTGAAGTCTCTAAGTGAATGCTGAGTGGCGCCAAGCCCATGATAACTATGAGCGGTGCTTGCGTGTTCTTCTCCGAACAGTTTACGACGGATCTCAAGTGCGTGCTTTAGAGAATCTAGTGCTGCTTTGAAGTCTCCAAGTGAATGCTGAGTGGCGCCAAGCCCATGATAACTATCAGCGGTGCTTGCGTGTTCTTCTCCGAACAGTTTACGACGGATCTCAAGTGCGTGCTTTAGAGAATCTAGTGCTGCTTTGAAGTCTCCAAGTGAGCGGTGAGTGGCGCCAAGCCCATGATAACTATCAGCGGTGCTTGCGTGTTCTTCTCCGAACAGTTTACGACGGATCTCAAGTGCGTGCTTCTTAGAATCTAGTGCTGCTTTGAAGTCTCCAAGTGAATGGTGAGTGGCGCCAAGCCCATGAAAACTATCAGCGGTGCTTGCGTGTTCTTCTCCCTCAAGAGGGATTGACAAGCCTAGTGCTTGCTGTTGGGCTTTAGAGGCTTCAGAATATTGATTTTCCCGGGAGAGAAAGTTTCCAAGATCCATATAACACGCTGCAAGAGCTTCACTGTGCACGTGGTAAGCGGAGGAATTTTCGTTGCATTGACTGAGAGCTGTTTGATGGTAACTGATTCTTGATTCAAGGAGCATTTTAGTGTCTCCACTTGTCTCAAATAAGGTTATAACATTTCGATTAAAACGAAAGAGACCGCTTGAAACGTGCTGCTCTATTTCGATCTCTTTCAGCATTTTAAGCGAAATATTTCGAAGACGTTGCTTAGTATCACTATCTACGAAGTTCTTCGTTGCCCTGCTTACAAGGTCAAGTACTTGCCATCTTAGAGGATAGTTAGAAAGAACGCTAGAGTCTGTTTGGTTTTCTTCTACTTCAGTTTTTCTTTCTTTGCTTTTCCCTGAGGATATCAAAAGTAGATCCATGTCTCCTAGTGCCTTGCACTCCTTTTTTGCACTGTACAATGACTGATTCAAGTCGACCATATGGTTTTGAATTTGGGAAAAATGACTAAGAATTTGGAGAGCAACAAGCCTAAGGACTGCCAAATCTGGGCGCCTATGCGTCAACTGAAGACCCTCTCGTAAATACTGAACTCCTTCTTCAGTTTTACCGTTAACAAGGTAGTTGATGCCTAAATAACACAGGCGTTTTCCTTGTAGTTCTGACTTGGAAACTAATGGCAGGGCCGGGGATTCCGCAGTTTCCTTCGCTCTACAAAGCAACTGCGTCGTACTTCTCTCCGGTCCCCAATATGCTTCTCCGAACGCCTTTGAAGCCAGTAGTTGACCGTAACACTCGTTTGCCTCCAGCCTCTTCGCAGCCTCAATCGCTGAATCGTAAATTTTGTGAAAGGTTGATCCCTCTAAGAAATAAAGGTTATCAAGAAATAATTCTCCCTTAGCTAACACCTCAAAAACTGCGCGTGCTGTAATGGGATCAGAAAGAGACTCCAGAAGGCTTTGAACAATGCTTTGCTCATCTTTATAGAATGCCAGAAAGGCCTCCATTGAACGACCAGTGAGATATTGCCCATTCAGCTTCTGAAACAGTGACACGTAAAACGAATGGAAACGGTGCTTTGATTTAAGGACCGTGTCCTTCATTTCATTTAGTCCCTTTTCTCTTGCAAATGTTTGAATCAGCTTGTGCATGGTGAAGAACTCTTCCTGCAAACCCAAATCAAGAAGTGACTTTCTCCGAAAGCTTCGCAGTATCTTCAAGGAGTGAATAATGTTTTTATCCAAGACGGCAGCAGCAACCTCAGTACCGAAATTATCAGGAAGAATGCTCAGCGACACTAGTGCTTCTCTTTCCTGTGCATTTAGTCTTTGGAAAGATGAGGAAAAAAGACATTGCAACCGGAGATTGGAAGGATAATCTGGGATGTCTAGCATCTCGATGATACTCACTGAAGCGGAGTCCTGCATTAATTCATCAAGAAACTGGCTCGGTTGACCTTCATATTCAGAAATCGAGGAGCACAATAATCTAATTGCTAAGGGTACAAAGCCACAGATTTTCGTTATTCGCCGATAGTCTGAAGAACTGGCGTTTGAAAGGAATTTATGAACTAAGGTCTGAGCAGAGGCTTCTTCTAATGTTCTTATCCTTACACTCTTGTGGCGTTGAAAATGTACGTTCATAAACTCCAGAGACTCCCTCGTTGTTACTACGATTGTCAGCTTTTCATTGCGCCTGAGAATTTCTTCAATGAGTTGTAAAACATCTTCCTTTACTTTTGGGTCACCACTTTCCAACAAATCGTCAGCATTATCGAAAATGAAAAAAGATCGTTCCGAAATTTCGCTTAATAGCTGACAAAGCTGATCATCAAGAGAAAGACGCAAAAACGAGGGCTGTTCATTTATGACAGATCGCCTGATACAGCCAAGAATCTTTGAAGTTAGAGCTGCTTTTGACCTCAGACCACGTAGGGACAACCAACAGACGGGTATTCCATTGTGTTGGAGATCGTGTCCCACCGCAATTGCAACGGATGTTTTTCCAAATCCAGGTGAACCCCAGATTGACACGAGCTGGGTGGTATTGGAAGTCATGTAACCCATGATCTCATCACATTCTCTTCGACGCCCAGTAAAATAAGGTACCATATTAGGGAGAGAAGTTGCCAAGGGCGATGGCCTCTCACCTTTAGACGTAAATTATAAAGAATAACAGTCAAATTTGTTTCACACTTTTTGGTGAACAAGGCAAACAAACGGAAACAATGAAACTTTAACGCTTATTTTCATAGCCTTTGAAATGAAATGAAGTAAAAAAGCAAATACATTAAGTCCAACTGTAATATATAAAGATGGCAATTTAATTTAACTACCGCCTCTGGAAGTAATTCAAATATGTGACAGTCCAAATGAATACTCAGTGCTAATGAAGCGATTTGTTCAGTAACCTCTCTATATTCGCAGTCTAAGTTGGGGGGCGGGTTTGAATTCAGGCAATGGTAGATTTACTTACTTTACTTCGATACGAACTGACTAACCCTCGTTAAACTTTGGATGATAATAATGTGTACCTAGCTGGATTATGAGGCGTTTCTGGGGGAAAGGAGGAGAGAAAAGCGAAAACGAGATAGAGCCAAGGGATAGAAACTTCTTTCCTCTTTCCCCCACTCCCGAATCTAAGATTTCTTCTCCCCGAAACCCCTGAGGAAGGCCTGATACGCAGGCTAACGTGTACCCCGCTCTGGCATGCATTAATACAAATAAGCCTGCGTGCAACAAAGGAAATACGATACGTCTGCACGCGGGCTAAAAACCAATGCATCCACGGTCTAGGAAAAAGGAAAAGGCGAATTCAGACTCATCTCAACAAGACTAGGCACACAAGAATGTTAGCATCTTTTATAATAAAGAGCACTTAATAAGTCAAGTGATGGACCTAAATCACCTCTTAAAACTTCTCACTTTCAAGTATTATAGTTATTATAATTGTAATTATTGTCATTTGTTTACCCACGGAACACTTAGGAGTTCTTAGGAACTCGTTGAATTTGGAAGTGTTGGTCTCTAAGGAGAGGAGAAAACCGGAGTACCTGGACAAAAACCTCTCGGAGCAAAGGAGAGAGCCAACAACAAACTCAACCCACATATGGCGTCGTCGCCGGGATTTGACCCCGGGCCACATTTGTGGGAGGCGAGTGCTCTCACCAATGCGCTTTCCTTGCTCCCCCAATTAAATTTGAATAAACTCACGTAGAAAAGCACCGAGAAGTCGGAGCCCGCGTAGAGGGCGGAATTTCTTTTGTGCTTGTAAGAGTTTTGAATGTAAAGCGTCTCCTCCCCATTCTCCGCACTTCTTTGCAGCTCCTCTTCCAAACCCTTCCTCGCTCGAACGATCCAGCCGGTTTCGCAGGCTTGGCAAAGTCACTACAGCTTAAGGTTTCGAAGGGTTTTAAATTCTATTCTGAGGATTTGTGAAATGGGGGTGAATAATTTTGATTTTATTGTTAGAAGGTATCTATATACGGTAAGACCTTTTCGAAAGGAACTCGAAACTGAAAAAAAAAAATAACATATGTCCATTCACTAAAAAGTTATGAAGGTCTAAAATGTGAAATTACCACTTACTTACTTTCTATCTTTTTTTTAGCCGATCGCTTTGCATTTCTAGTTCATTTTTTATGTGTTCCAAAAGTAGTCCAATGGAGTGAAATCGGTATATAGCGAAATAGAGGATATCACAGGCTGCGCGGGGACGCACTCAAGTTTTTTTTAACTTTTCTCACGGCCTCACGACAAGACTCTCAATCTCAAGGTTTTTTGGGAAATATCATTCTGAAAACTTGAATGAAATGTTACCTCGATGAATAAAAACGGAAGTTTCGCGGGTAATGCTAGTGCCTGTTTAAGCCTTGATGGGGCTTTGAAACATTTTAGCCATGAAGTTCGCTTATCGGGAAGAAATACCGCTCTTTGCTATTATAAGTTTCTTCCCAGTGATGACCTATTCTCTGGCCTCTTAAAGTCATTAAAGTAAAAGCGGCACCCAATTAGTTACAGGAGGGACCCGAATAAAGCAGGGAGATATTGAAGATCAATGTTAAGAAGACTAAGGCGATGAAAATCAGTAAGAGGCCTTGTGAGGAATTACTATTTTTGTGCAATGAAGATGGTCTTGGAATATAACGACACAAGTAAGTTAATAATCCATTCCAGGAGCGTTCTGTCGCACTTTGTAATGCCTGTCGCAATTTGTAATAAAATTGTCGCAATTTGTAATAAGACCATGGCACTTTGTAATGAAACAAGCTGTCGCACTTTGCAATAACACTTCTCAGGCCACTTAAGACATGACTATCTAATTAAATATGCATATTTTGAGAAAATGCTGTTTAGGACGGTTTACTTCTATTAATGATCCTGAAAATTAAACTACAAATGTAGCTTAATGGCCTAATACGAGACATTTAAGAAGCTCATATTTTCGTCAAGTGACTGATAATTGAGAATTAACTGTCAAAATATTAACTCTAAAATGGGGAAAGGATAATGAAAGAGTAACAAGTTCTTTTGTTATATTTCAGAGGCTATTAGAAAGGTTCTGGATAATTTGCCTTGTATGTATGTTTACGTTACATAAAAAGCGGTAAATATGGCAGAGATAGCTAATAGCCAAGGATAAATAACATTTCCTAATCAAACAAGACCGATTTACCATTTACACTGTTTCTGTAACATTTTGGTAGTGAAAATACTTAAGATCAAGATTTGCAACTCTTCCCCGATTAGGAAAACGTGTTTTGTGACGTCATTAACAACGCAATGTCACGTGTTATTTGAGATCCCGTTTTACGTTTTGTTTTCGTTGAGCCACATTTCTAGTTTACTTTTCAGGATCACTGATGGAAGCAAACCGTCCTTAATAGAATTTAACAAAATATGCATACTTAATTAGGTAGTCATGCCTTAAGTGGTCTGAGAGTAAGCAATTCTCACTATTTCAGCTGATCTTCATGGGATTCTGGCTCCTGAAGAATCTCCAAACTGAAAAAACTAGTTCCCATATTCTCAAAAACACTCTTTCTTGGCATTACAAGACCTTACAACCTACTTGTATCTGAAAATATATTCTGAGATTTTATAAGTGAAAAATTTGGAAAAAATTAACTGTCAACCGTCAGAGCCATCACCCCATTGAGACCCTTGTTAAAGAATCACGTCCACACTCATGAATCCAGGTAAAAAAAGATTCAGATTCGTGTGGAGAGTGATCAACGTCAAATTTTTTTTTGTAATAAAAATTCTTTTTAACACTGACGGGACATGAGAATTAATAGGGACATGATCAGGCAAAATGTATTTAGTATCTCCTTGGGTTTTCCAAGATATCGTTACGTCAGTAACAACAGCACAATATAAAAGTGGACACTATATTATATATTGTGTATACTAAACGAACCTACCTTTGATAACATTATCATCGTTTCCTTGATAATGAGGCCATCTTTTGAAGACAACATCATCATTTAAAATCTTGGCAACTAAAGAAGCAGCATTAGCACTTGCAAATTCGCTCCATTTTTCATTTGTGGTCTCTCTGCCATCTGCATAACTAGAAATTCCCTTTACAACAAGCCATTCAACTTGGAGGTCAAATGCAGCTGTGTAAAGTCCTGCAACAGAAACACGGCACCACTCATAAATGGGGCCATTAAGTATAGCTGAGAAATGGAATGAATGGCAGGATAACAAATTAAAAGATGCGTCCTCACAACCTGTAAATTTTTAAAAACCTCAAAGTATAGCTAAGAAATGAAATGAATGACAGGATATCAAATTGAAAGGTGCGTTCTCAAAACCTGTAAATTTTAAAAACCTAGAAGGCTGAACAGATTATCCAAATGGCCAACCTCTGTCTGGGTGTTTTCGACGTAATCGAAGTCGCGACGATCTTAGGGATTAAAGCGACGATCGCATTGCTCTTTCAATCAAGTTTGATTGCGCGCTCGGCAAATCTCGCGCTTGCTTTTAAACCTGCCCCTAGGGGCATTAAAAAGGACGCGTTGCTATGGGCAACCGATTTTTTTCTATTTGTTGCTATAACACCCCAGCCACCCCACCCCACCCGAGATTTCATTACCTTCGGCTTCGGTGTCAACAGCCACTGCCAGAGGAAAGGTTTCAGCCAGCTGTTTACACCGCAATTCTGTATTGATTACTTCTGGAACGCTCAACAGCTCACCGCTGCTGTGAATTTTGACTTCTCGATCTTCCGAGTTCTCCAAAGGAGCCTTCCAGCCAAGAGCTGAATCCTTAATGAGGTCAAGAAATCGTTTGCTAGCAAACGTTCTTATATTATTATGTATCTCTTTATCATTTGTCACAACCTTCAATCCATATGTTGTCAACTTTGCAGAAATCACAACATCACCCAATTTGGTTTCCTCAGGACGGAGGCTACCGCACGTTCCAACTAAAATAACTGCTTTGGGCATAAGCACTGAGACAGCATTTTTTGTAGTTACTATGGAGCCTCCCGGACCACTAGAACCTTCTTGGCATCGCAATAAAGCAACTTTTACTTTCTCCTCTTGCCCTTCATTCTCGTCCCCGAAGTAAACAAAACCTAGACCATCGAACCAACATCTGAATGGATTGTTCAGGTGCATATAACAAGCTAAGAACTCACAGTCCTTTACAGTCAATAACAAAATGTCGACAGGAAGGCGCGCATGATTCCTATCCTTTGTTGGTAATTGGATATCATTCATGCGGGGAAGTTTAACACTAAGCTGGGGTGGGTGTCTACTGGCGTTGCAGTGTTCCCTCTTAGTTCCCCTAGTTGCACCATCTGAGATATCTTCTTCTTGTGCGTTGCTGCCAAAGTCCATGGCGGGCGGGTTCGACATTTCGCTCAATTTAGACTTGAGAAGTCAAAATATATGGATCTGGCATATAAGGGGTACATACATTGTCACATGTTTGTCCAGGAAAGGCTTGATTTAAAATAGTTAATGAAATGAAATTAAAATAGTATCATCCTTACCTGACTAGCCAGAGAAGCCAGAAGTGTAAGTACGGCACTTTATATACTAGGTAGATGTTAGAGATGTCAGATGTCTCTGGGTAGATGTTGGGGTTCGGTTTTACCTTCGGTTCGAATTTTAGTTTTCTTAGTTTGAAACTCATCATTACACGTAAACACACTCAAAAACAAAGGAAAATAAGACCCCGTTCTGCACTGGCCTCCCACGCAGACGCTCTTTTGGCTCGTCACGCAACCCTCCCGTGGGCAGGAACGCGTGACGAACCCGCCCTAAGAACGTCTGCGTGGGACGCTACGTCCACACGAATTCTGTTCGCGTCTAAGATACAATGCCAACGATTTTCGGTTGAGTTTTTCACATTTTATTACCAAGATATTGCGATTATTCGGTATAAAGATGAAAAGTCCCAGAGAATTTCCCAATGAAAGTACGGATACTCCATCAACCTCGTTCCCAGGGTTCTCTCCTACCCACCCTACGGAACGCTTCGTAGGGCGGGTAGGAGAGAACCCTGCGAACGAGATTGCTACTCCATGTCCTCGATCTTTTGACCGGACCGAACCATTGTTCTTAACCCCATACTAGAAACATCAAAAAAAAGAAAAGTTTTGAAAGCAAAAAGTCTACATTAATCTATTTTCGTTGGATTTCCTAGTTTGTTTTTGCAGAACTGCATGAATATTAGCCCTCCTTTTCGTGAGGTACCTTCGCCCAAATCCGGGCGTCGATAAAATCCGGAACACGGAAACATTCTGGAACATTCCGGAACATGAAAAAATTAAAATATTTTTTTTATGAAAAAAAATTATAATAATAAAATAATTTTTCACAAACTTATAATAACGAAATAAATAACATAACATAACATAAAAACGAAAAAGAAGGGAAAAAAATGAAACTGGCATCATCTCCGAGGCCCTGGGGAAGAGGTTGAGACAAAATACAACCTCGTCCCCAGGGCTTTTCCCTTAAAAAATGGGTGGGGCCCACTCAATTTTTAGGGGAAAGGCCCTGTGGACGAGGTTGTATTTTGTCCCAAAATTTTGCGAGTGAGGGTCCGTGCAAAGGACATTATTAGTAATGAGTGGAAGCTTGTCTCTCTATTCTAAATATATTAAGATTGGACGTAAGGAAGGGAGGCTAGCTGTGTGACTGATAGCATGAAAAGCCCCCTTCTGGCGCCGCCCATTTTAATATACTGTGTATTTTGAATTTAGAGGCAAGCCTTCACTCATTACTGTCATTTGAATGGACCCTCACTCGCCCAACAAATTAATTGCGACAAAATATTGTTTTCTCAAACTCGGAGATAATACCAGTTTCTTTTTCGTTCATTCTTTCTATTTGTTATGTTATGTCATTGTACTTATATTAATATTATAAATTTTTGCAAAAATTGTATTCTTATTCTTGTTCTTATTCTTGTTCTTATTATTTATTAAATTATTACTTAATTATTTTTCATAAAAAAATATTTTAATTTTTTCATGTTTCGAGATGTTCTGGGATGTTCCGGAATGTTCCGTGTTCCGGGTTTTATCGACGCCCTCTCTTGCTTGTGGCGCTTTTGAGGAGTGTTCATGCTTGAGTGGCCCGCCGCGGAAGCTTATTATCATGCGTAAGGCTTGATTTCCACTGTCGCGTAATTTTTACGTGCGTACGTGCGTAAAATTTACGTTAGCAAATAAAATAGAGGCAATGTATGAAAGGTCGCACGTAAGTGTAAAAGTAGAACCTCTCTCAACTTCACGTTTATTCTCAACACTTTATATCTTGCCTCTGTTTTATTTACGTGATTAAAATTTTCGTGCGTTAACATCTGTGAACGTACCTTAAATGTCCGGACGTTCTGCGCGATGTGAAACTTTAACGTCGCCTTAAGTTCCCCTAAGACATCGGAAAAAATAATAGTTTTTAAGGCATCAAGTTAACCAAACAAGTTTCTAAAGCATAGAGAAAACTATTCGAAACACTTCTGACATATTTGGAAACATTCGGTCCTTGCGGGTCCCTGTTTTTCACGTTTCCCTTATGAACCCAATAAATCCTTACGACATGTATCAATCGGTTTTTAACAACCGTTCTCACATAGTGAGTTTTGGAAGCCTGTGACTAAAATCTTAAAACTGGTATGACCTACCTTGAAGGCATTTGATGAAAATTCAAAGCACGATATCAATGAGCTGATCCCACGGTCTCTAGATTTTCGTTTTTGTCGAGGAAAGAAAGAATTATGCTCGATTACTGCTTCTGGTTCTACGCCAGCCCACAGGAACTTGAAAATTCCACAGCTACGAGGTCCTGAACAAATAAAAACAGTCGATAGTTCATATTCTTGGTGGACCATTGATCTAAGTATATATAGCGGTATGTTATTCAAGAGTATGCCAAAGTGTCCGTATTAGACCAAGCTCTATCGTCGTGGACTCATGTTTTATCGATGATGTAACGAATAAAGCAGGAAATGACGACGCAGTCTTCAATTTTTGCACTAAACAGCAAAACAGCAGTGAAAATACGTAGAGTCCTCGAAAGTCCTCTTTAGTTGACGTCTTAATTAGAAGTTGGATGTAAACGGGCTCACTTTCCAAAATTGGTGAAAGAAGTGTTGCTTCACATGTCTAGGGTTGCTATAGCTATTTCTTGGTTTCAGGGTGCATAAATGCATAGTGGGTTTCCTGTAGGGAATCGGTAACCGGTAACTAATAACCTGAAATCGCCGATACCAGGTAACAACTTCCAATCAGTTACACCATTCCTAACTCGAAATGCTAACTCGGCAAGTAGGTATCCTCTCAGAGAATTAAAGCGTCCGTTCAAACAACAGGTTTTCCATGAATTCAATGTTCAAGGCTCATCATTTTCTCCTTGGAAATCGTTTACGTTTCATGCAGCATTTATTCTCCTAGCCTCTTTCCCTTTTTCCAAAAGCAAAACACTGAATTTTTTTAATAGGTCGAAAACATATGTTAAATTGTGCCTAGTATATTTATATAGTCAACATAAAATATGAAGGTCATGGAGCCACAACCTGGTTAAAACTTGGTTAGTTTTTGCTTATATCAAGTGCCAAAAATGTAACTGTTTTGCATGAGACATCAACAAATTTTTAGGAACCCTGTGACATGTTCTAACCATTACTGATTTCCTAGCTTGCAGGAAGTAGACGCTTTCTTCGGCTCTTGTTTTACCCGCTATTTTTTCGGCGGGTGAAACAAGAGCCGAAAAAAGCGTCGGCCCTTCGCTGGCTACTGCTTTCCGGGCTTGTGCTTCGAATCGGCTTGTAGAAAGATGGTTTACTTGATGGTAACTTTTGGAAAGGAAATTCCAGTTATCCATTTTAGATTCACTCATTTATCCTGGTTATCGTAATAAGCAACGCGTTAAGAAATAGATTTGTCCTTTTTTAAAAACTTGTTACAAAGTAGTAAAACTGAAAGTCGCTAACCTGGCTGCTTTACACGTCGACATATTGTGACTTCGCAGTGTGAAAGTCCATCTGAAGAGGACTTAGAATAAATGCCTTTTTCTATATTCAAAGGATTATTTTGTTTCTTCTTCGATTCATGAGCTGTTCATTTCAATGTCGGCTGACTGGGTTGCTTTATGATGATGCCTAGCATTCAATGTCTTCGGTGGCATTACGCCTTCGCTGCCCATTTAGCAGACTAATGCATCTACATTTAGCTGATTGTTACGGTTCTTGGTCAGCGAATATTCATTTATATTTTACCTACAATTATTACCTACCTGTAAGATATTAGATGCAAATTACAATCACAGTTTCAATGAGCTGATCCTGCGGTTTCCAGATTGTTTTTGTTGTCGGGGGATAGATAAAAAGCACACACTTCCCCACTGGACAAACCAAAGCGTGTTCCCTTCGTTATCACCTACAACCTAGCCTCCCACGCAGACTTTCTTAGGGGTTCGTCACGCGTTCCTGCCCCACAAATAGCCTGCGTGGCAGACGTAAGGGGGAGAGGGGAGGGAGAAAGCGCGAAAGCGGGGAAAAGGGAAAAGGCTCCTTACCATATCTCCCCAATCCCACCCCCTTTTTCCCTTCCTTCCTACGGCCCTACCCATTTCAGCGCCTGCCAACGGGCTACCCCACAAACGTCTGCTGAATCGAGTGGTTAGCTTTCCCTTCCCATAGTTCCCAAATATCAGCTGGACTGAGCTCAAGTGCAGATTATCGGAGAACCAATCGGCGCTGTTGAAGTCAAAGTGTTGACAAGCCAAACACATACGTACAAGCTCGGTAAAGTGTTACAAGGGTTTAGCTCCGGACAAGAATATTTAGGAGATAAGTGTAATGCTTGAATGGTGAGTTTTCGACACGACTCGTGTAGTTGACGGTGTCCACTCCGAATGAATACATTATGTCCTACTCGAGTATGTATCTAGAGTAAACAGATATTTCGAGAAAGGTTGTCGGAAAAAGCGCAAGCGACAATCCCTAAAGGTATTGTGTGTTTTCACAAGACGTCACGGCGGCCATATTTGTGTCCCAAAACAATGAAACGGCGGCCATGTTTATATGTTTTCAAGTTATTACATTCTCTAAACGGCAAAACTTGCCAACAAGACGAAAAAACCTGCACTAATTATAACTATAATTGATACTAAGAGCCATAATGGGACCCCAATATTTTCTAAAACGGAAATGTAATAAGCTATAATTTAAGAATAAAATCAGCAGAAAAATAAGAATACTCAGCATGGCCCGGAAAAAAACAACATTTTTATATCTAAAAAAAAGAGTGCACATGAAGAATACCAATTACGTTCTTTATGTATAGAGTGAAGACCGTTAACATTACAATCCATAAATCGGCCCGTTGACCACACAGGAGAGACGTGACACACATTTTAAGTGAGGTAATCTGTTTTTTTATTGCAATCCTTTCCTTTTCGTAGGTTACAGAAACGATAGGTTTGTTTCCCCCATGTAAATCCTTATATTTCCGCTGTATTTCAAATGCTACCCAACAATGCCATGCTCACATTTTACACTTGGGTTACCTGTGGTCACTCCCTACATAGAGAGTACGGGGGAGTGACGGGGGTCACCCAATAGCAACTAAACAAACGACTAAATCAGGAATACAGCAAAGGTAAGTCTCATTTATTCTATAGAAAAAAGGGTAATATGTAATGATATTTAGCTTTCGCAGATCTCAGTATTTTATTTCTCATACGAGGTCTATCTCCATCAACCTCGTCCCCAGGGCTTTTCCCTGGGGACGAGGTTGTCTCTCCATACATTCCACACTCTCGTGAGACGTTGTGCGGAGGACTGCGGTATCCTGACAGGGGATTGGTTACTAATTTATCAGATCATTACCATGGAAACAACATACCACCAATGTTCCAATAAGTTCCAATATGGCGCACAAGTATGATCTTCTTCTCGTTCAAACCAAAACAGACGAGAAAAAGCGACTTAAACCATGGTAAGGAAGCTTTTGTAGAACTCAGATGTGTCAATGAGATAATTCAGGTCTTCTTAAACAAGTTGATAGGCTCAGTTCGGTGGTTGTTGTCGGCGAGCGAGTTACTTTTGTGCAGCCTTGAGCTCTTCACCTAATGCTTGATTGCTGTAATTCCCTCGATTTGCAAAGCATATAACAAAAAATATAATGTACAATTAAGCGTTAATTCGAAAATGGTATATGACTACACTGTTGAGGCTCGATCTGGAGCCAGTGATGTTAAAGACTCGCATGCAGTTCTCGAGTATTATGATAAATTTCAAGTTCATTTTATCTTACAGCCACACACAAAGTGCGTTATTTGCGTCTAAATCACGAACCAGAGGTTTTTAACCCTTATAAAAGACAAACTGAGCACTCTGCAGTGTAAAGGCGAAGATTTCTGAAATTAATTTGAGGAACGAAGAGAGCAGTAGAACAATAAAGTTTTTTAAAAGGCATGTGCAAACAACAACATCATAATTTTGAAATTTAAAGTACTCTGTTGTTTTTCAGTAGCATTATGCATATGGTGAGGGTTAGTTAACTTAAAGCTATGTTCACCCTGTATCAAGGCCCTCATATCCTTTTTTTTGCATTTTGAGGATTTTGGCTTTAGCCGACAGACGGACTGAGCCAAAAGTTGTAGTTTCATCTGTGGTGTAGGCTAGGTTTCGTCATACATGTATTATGACAAATGGTTTTCAGGTACAAGGAGAGGTTAGAGACAAAGTACATCAAGCCAAGAAAACTAAGGGGAAATTCAGAGACACTTGTTGGTTCTGCTTGGACATTTTTGGAGAAAGGAAGGGATGACTTTAGAGATGGACTCCCTCCTGAGGCTAATTATAATTATGTTAAAAAGGTAAGGAGTGCATTCATTGGGAATTTTAATTCTGTATTATTGCCTTGATTTCTTGAGTTTACATGGCTTAGGTGAAATGAGAAAATGAGGCTCTGAGCTAAAGAACAAAAATTATTTGTCATTGGGTGATTCCAGGGAATATCCATACCTTACCACAGACAGCTTTTTGGAATTCTGAGGGTAAGGGGGGTTCTTTGAACTGGAAATCCGAAGGTATGGGAATACTTACAATAATATTGGAAGTTCGAAGACAAGGGGAAGGTTTATATGTGGAATTTCCACGGTTTTGTCGACTTAATCATGATCAGTTTGCAAATAAAGAGCATGAAGTGGCAACAATGGATACAAGACAAGCATTGATCAATCAGGCATGTTTTTGTGCTCATTCGTGGAAGAAAACTGACAAAACAAAGATTGAATAACAAGCTCCAGAGGCCTCAATCCCACATAATGTCCTTTTATCTCTCATCAAAGTGGCCTGATAAATTATTTTGTCCATTCAGTGTGAAACATAGTCTTTTAACTGAGGACGCCATTTTACTTTTGAAGCTTGTGGGATTGAGAGTGACTTCTGACCCCAAAGGCTCAAATTCAAGATCGCGGAAATGAAAATACCCAAACGTGCTGTCAATCGTACTACCCCACCGTAAATCCTCTATTAAGCCCCCCTCTCTTTAAAAAGGGATCATTGATCCTGACAAGGGTGTAGAGATGAAAAAGTGCTTGAAATTTTTCCTGTTCCTTAAATGTACTTTCTTGTTTTATTTGTTCAGACTCGTAGTGGATTAGGGCCACATATTACTGGATCGGATGAATCAGTCAATACTACAACCAAGGCAGCAACTAGGTTTACAAAGAATGAGGCTTGTTATTCAAGGTCAGGAGACAAATCTTGTGTCTTGATATGCTTGATCATTTTATTTGTTTTTGCTGTCGCACTGATTAAGAGGCATTTGTGCAGCTGACCTGTAATGTTTTTCTCATGCAGGTCACTCCCTCTTCAACAACAGAGGCGGGGTCGTGTAGATGATATAGAGTTCAACCTGATGCAGCACCCACTGGCTTTGTTCCCGCACCTGGAAGAATCTCTTCCTCCTGATGTAAGTTGCCACAGACTGGGCTTAGTGGCAAAACTTGTTTTTTTTGGCCTGAATGTTGTACATTTAACTGTGAACTGGTACTCGTCTAATTTGTTTGTTTTCTGAAACTCAGGTATTCGAAGATGTAGTGGAGATTCTTGATCCAGAAATGAACATTGACAGTGAAACTGGGGATGATGAAATACAGGTGACACTTCTTAATAAGTGAAGTCAATGAGTCTCTACTTTCAATGCTTCTTTAATCACTAATCTTAAGTCAGGCATTTAACTTCTTTAAGTTTCGTGTGAGAATTCAAGAGTTTTTGTTAAGCCAGCACTCCACTGGCTGGTAACCAGTTGTCTCTATTTGGATGTGGGAAGAGCATGCAGGGGATGAAATGCAAGAGGCATTACTGAGGGGAGCTCGAGGGGTGATGGGCACCTTGCACTCCTGACTTAACCATGCTTAATAGGAGACTGAGAGATTACTAGGGACAAGTCAGAGTACTCTAAGAACTAATTGACTAGTGGGGTGGACAGGCAGGAGTGCAGCAAGGAGCCTTTTAGCCAGACATTGAAAACTGGCCATCCAGAAGGCATGTTTTCCCATAAAATTATAAAAGATTAAGTGAATTTTCGTTGTATTTCTTCGGAAAATGGGCGTCTACAGGATGGTTGGACATGCCTGCATGTAGGTGTACTCTAGGCACCATTCTCCACTGATAAGAATTGGGGGAGGGGATACTTCACCTAAAAACATGAAGGCAGTCTTTAAACTAAAGTGAGGCTGTCTACTTAGGAAAGTGTCTGTTCTTGCTCCTTTGTTTATGAACATTTACAGTGTTAAACAAAGAAGAGGTTAATGACACTTGCGATGACAAAAAGCTCCACCATTGCTCCAGCGTTTATGGTGGGAACTGAACTATCTCAGTCAATGTTAGAAATAGTAACTTGTCTTGAATCCATGAGCAAATTAAACACAACCCTTGTATGCTTTGGCACCAAGAAGACTGTTTTGAACTCAACTAGCTTAGATTCCAAAGTATGTTTTAAATTTGTTTCAGGAGGGAAGTGAAAAGGACTCTGAGGAAGAGAATCAAAGCAATGCTCAAGATGAGGTTAGGAAGTCAATTTGTATAATTTACAAGCTTAACGGTCAGTCTAACCTGCTTAGCATGGAATGCTTGCTATACAGGCCAGTAATAGCTAGCATCATCAATCATATTTTTTAAAATTTGCATTTCGATATTATTAAATAATAAAAGATAAGGAGAAAAACCTAAAAGTCCCAAAATGGGAAATTTTGGTATCTACATGTATGACCTAATTAACATTTTTTTCTTTTGCAGTCCATCAGAAGTGGAGAATCAGGAAAAATCAGGTGTGAATTCAAGCAATTTTTTTTATACCTAGAAACTCATAAAAGATCAGCTTGACAACTGACCATATAAATAAAAATGGCTTGGGACTTTCTTAATGGTGTGCTAAGTGATGAGGTGCACGCAGATTAGGTTCTATCCTCTTGTGTGGGATTAAAAATCCCATCAAGTCCCCTTTTGCAAAAAAAGGCCAGTGATGTTTTTTGATTTTACCTTCCTAGAAGCGATCGTATTTCATGTGGTTAGCTCACTATCTTTCGTTATTGGGTCTCAACTTTGCAGTTGATTAACTTTAATAAACATTTACCTTTCTGATTTTAAGATATGTTTCATTGTTGAGTTGGGTAAAATGTTCAAGAAGTTATTAACCACTGGCATTGTTGTACATATTTATATGGCAGGTCTTATTGTGTAGGCTTTCCGGCATTGATAACTGAACAGCTATATCTAGATATTTTAATTATATTATTATTATTATTATTTACATTCATTTGTTACTATTTCACACATAGCAATCCTTATTCTGATAAGGATCAGGCAAAACTGACCTATAAATGGAAACCAAAACAAGAGGAGGTAGCAAAAGAAGAAAGCAAAAGAGCAAGTCGCAAAAAAGCAGAGTCTCCAACATCGGTAAAGTTAAAAATTTGTATTTTATTGCCCACTTGGCTATAAAAGTGTGCAAGTTTTATCAAATGACTGTTAATGGTAAGGCCACATAGACAAGTGGTTACAAAGATACAGTTGCAACCCAGAGGCCCCTGAGTTAAAATCCTGCCTTGACCTCTAGTTAGATTTGTTCTTGTTAGTTCTGAGTTAATTAACTCCTTGGCTATAATATCATTGTTTATTATATAAACACCAATGAAATACCAGATGAGCTTTCGCACGAAAACATGATATCTTCACACGTGAAAATAACATGTTATTTTCACGTGTGAAAATATCACCGTTGCGATGGCTACACAATAAATCGCGCCTTTCGCAGGAAAAAACTGTTTCATTGAAATGGTTTGGTATTTCATTGGTGTTATAAATAGAACATTACATGGCCGCTTGGAGATACGAAATTTCTCTTCTCACTCGAAGAGGAAGAGAAATTTTGTATCTCTGCGCGGCCATGTAATATCCTCTATAAATAGCCAACTGGTTTGCCTTCAGCTAGTTGGGAGTCTTACTACATAAGTACTGTTAAGAATCCCGACTGGCTGAATTAATTGCTTCCACTTTTATTAGTGAGCCACATTGTAAACTACTGGGTAACCTGTGCAGTGATTTGACAAAGTATTATTTTAGCAATTTACATTTTATTGACTAATAATGTAAAATGCTTAAGTAATACTTTTAATAATACTTAATTTTACTTTAGGATGCAAGGATACAAGAAGTGACAAAAGAATTCTGTGAGTGGGTAGCTGGATTGGTAAGTATACATATCTGCATTGTGAAGGCCACAGTTTACCAACCCTTTAATAACAGTCCTATAACAGTCCTATTCATATAATAAAATTTATCATATTTCAATTTGAACTGCAGTCTGGTTATTACATTTTTCATTTACTTCCCTATTAGGGTGGGCAAAGCAATAACATTGAAGAATCAACTGTGATGAGCCTTTTCGCTAGTGGATATGAAACAAAGGTTGGTTTGACAAATGCAGTACATGATAATAAAATATATTATGTAATCAGACGCATATAACCCCGAATCGGGGTAATGTAAAACCATCATGCATTGACAAGCTCCTGGAAGAAGAGGGCGGGGTAGACCATGGAGATGTTGTGTAACAGACATCTGTGAATGGACACGGAGTACACCATCACAGGCTATCAGGCTTGCTGAGAAGAGAGACTTAAGAATAATCCTGCATCAGAGTGCGTTTACAGATCCTGAGAGATCTTTAGTGTAAAAGAATAAGGTAAAGTAATGTTTTGTATCATTTTTTTTTGCAGCCTGCACTGTCAGTACCCATCCATGTTGTTGAGCTCACAAATGTTCCACCAGAATTAAGAATGAATACAGGGTCACCGTTACCAAAACCAAGTGACACAAGACAAGTTCCAGAAGCCGACAAGGATAAGGTAGGAATAAAAGAACTGCACTTGAAAAGTGGTTAAGAACAAGAAATGATGGTGGTGATGAGGATGATAGTTAAATGACCATGGGAAAGTGTTAACTGTTTAAGCCTCAATAGTGACCAACGTCTAATTTCTCCCAACAATAACACTGCCTGATCAAACAGACAGGTCATGACAATTAATGAAATGATCACCAAAGATGAAATGTTGTGACGTTACAACAAATTCTCTCAAGCAGTACCATAAGGAATGTATGAAGAACAGTGTGGAGAAGACATATGTTGATGTTGGGACTTAAAGGGTTAAATTAATGTTGTCAGTGCCACTAACAAGGATGCTTAAATACAATCTCATAATGGCCTGCGAATAGAGCCATCCATCCTTGCTGCCAGGGACACATCTGCATCAAATAACAGAAATGGCACACCGATGACATATAATCTGTCCAGAATCTGGTCAGGGGCTCTGATTTGTTGAAGTAGTCAGGGTTCTCGTTAAGTGCCAGCAGCCAGCTAAAAAACCGGCTACTTGAACGTTTGAGCCTTCTGCTTTTTGGGGCAATAGGGTAAAGTGAGAAAGTGAAATCCAGAAGTTGCCTACAGCATTTAGTTTCCAAGCCGCCTATATTTACATCATAGCTGTCCACTTTAAAACTTAAGGAGAACCCCGTGTAGTAAATTCTTTTAGCCGTTGTTTGTGAATGACAGACAAAAGACAAAAGGTCACAAGGTCAAATGTAAACAAAATAAATCCACTACAAAACAGTCAGTATTTGTGGAATATGTTCTTCTTTAGATGAAGTATTTGAGTTTTCCTGCACTTGTTGCAGAAAAACTCAAGAAAGAAACATAAACTCAAAAATTTACATTTGGAGCCCCATGACTACCAGATCAAATAAAGTCATCAGTATGGTATTTGTATCAAACGGTGCAGACGCTTCTCCTGCCAAACCTCCCTTGTGGTAAGGAGATAGGGAGACAGCTGTAATCACAGGGTAACACTTAAATGAATCAACACAGATTGTCTTTTCTGTGGCAGTTCATGTCATTCCTAGCCTGCGTAGCTGGCGGTATTGTGTGGGTGTGAGATTAACGTTTTGGCGGCGGAGTCGTGTTCCAAAAAAAGAGAATAGGGACGAGCTACGCAGGCTATGTCATTCCCGGCTTTTTAAATAACAAGTGCCATTTTATTGTGACTCCTAGCAAGCCAAAGGCAAGTATGTTCCAAGTTGGGTGAAAGTGAAATATGGTGCATGGTACCTGAGTCCAAAGACATGGAAAGCTCGGCCAAAGGATGAACCATTACAGGATCCTAAGGAACAACAAGATAAAACTTTGTCAGAATCCAAAAAGAAAAGTCATAAACTGGTAAGATCCACAGCCTACACTAGCGTACCCATAGATTCCATTTAAAATGAATCTATTATTTGCTAACCTGTATCAAATTCAAATCAGCATTCCTGCATGGGTAACGATCGAGTAGCAAATTTTGGCTACAACTCCTCGGTATTCGGTCAGATTGAAAGATCTTTGAATGGACAGAATTGCTTTGAAGACATTGACATGAAATTCAAGAAATCTGAGGCTGAGCTGGCAGAAATTTCGTAACTACCTCGTGTGAACTCACTGCTCATTACACATGCAGGGATGCAGAGATAAATCTGAAGTCTACAACTACTAATGGATTTTTAACTTTCAAGTAATATATTCTTTAATGGAATTTTGGCTTGACTGTAAGGTATAAGAAAAAAGTCCACTGTAATGTTCATGTATGTATAAAAACGTTTTTGAAAGAATGCATAAAATGTTAGAAATACTTCTTTAGCAAGACAAGATTGTTCCCTCCATTCTTGCCCTTTTATTAGCTGTTGGCTACTTTTTGATAAAAAAAATCACCAGTGTGCTGTATTGCGATCCCTTTTCAAAACTTTGTCGCTGCGTGGCAATGCAATAATATTACAAGTTTAGTTGTAATGGGATCCAGAGATTACTGCTTGGGAGGTTAAAGAAAAAAAGTAATCTAAATATGTTAAAATTAATTTAGAAATGATTACCATTTCTGTTGTGAATTTCTGATGACCATCTTTCTGTAGGATGCTGTACTTTCAAGCATGCATGGAGCAAAGGCTTTTAAAGAATTTATAGACAAGAAAAACACCAGAGTACCAGAATTCCTTGAGGCTGTGTCTGATCAACAAGAGCAAGTCAAGGCTGAGGCAGAGGAGACACAAGAGAGAAGGAAATCTCGCTCCATTAGCACTCAGCATACACAGTTTGGAACCTCACAGAACTATGTGTTCTGATTTTAGATACATCAGTAGAAAGATAATGCCAGATCTTTTACTGACGCTTAAAAGAAAAATGTGACTGAAAAAAATGTTGCCACTTGCATCTGTACAGATACTTGTTTTATTCTGTTGACATTATTTTAAATGTAAATAGTTTTGTACGTATACATTGTATAGAACAATATTTATTGTAAAATACTAGCATCAAAATTATATTCTGGTAATAAATTATTATTGAAAAATATCTGACCAGATCCTTTCTTGGAGAATAGTGGTGAAAACCTTTCATGAAGACTGAATAAAAGTTATTTCCGCATTCACTTTCCCACAATAAATTAGCATGGCTCCTGCTTTTATCAAATTAATTGGTGTTTTGAGCATAGAAAAGTGGAAAGTGCTTCAATTCACAGGGGCACCCAACGAGAATATGGTCCTAGCTGAAAGTCTTGTGATCCGAAAATTATAAGGATCAAAACTTACCTTTCCGAAAATTCCAGCCAGAAAAAAGGCTCCTGTAAATTCTATGTGACCTTTACAGGGTAAAAATCCGATAAAAATAGGCAATTATACCATTTTTTTAGATGTTCGAAAATCCTAGGAGAGGCAGGCAAGCAAGAAATTTACATCATATGTTCCGAAAATTCTAGATCTCAAATCGTCTTCCGAACAGATATTTTCTGAAAATTGTCGTTGGGTGCCCCTGAATTTAGGGTTATTTTTTTATCATTTCTTTTAAACTATCAAGGTTTTTAGGTCACTGCAATCACAAAAAGTCCTGAAACTAAGCCAGCTGCTAATAACACCATTACAATGGTAAACATGTGACGCTGGAACCAGGTTGGTTCTACTGTTTCTTCTACTTGTTTTCTTGGTCTTCGTTTCTTTCCACGCTGTTTCCTCTCAAACCACTCAAGTTCCTCCTGCAAGAAAAATTAATATACTTGTAAATTTATGTATTATTAATATACGCAATTCATAATCTTGGAATTTCTGTCTTTCTTGGTTATCCTGTGGAACCCAAAGTGGCCATTTGCAGCAAGTTCCTGCATTTTCAGCTCGATTTTGAATTAGATTATACCATAAAATTCCGAAAATAAGCCCCTCCATGTATAAGCCCCTCCAAATATAAGCCCCCCAAACTCGTAACGCAAAAAACCCTCCGTTAAATCGCCCCTCCAAATATAAGCCCGCCGGGGGCTTGTACTTGAAAATTGCACTCAAATACAAAGTAAAAAAAAGCAAAAACGGTAAATTTCCTTCCAACTTTAAGGCTTTCCCAATTGATTTTGAAACGCAAATTTTCCTCCATAGATAAGCCCCTCCACATATAACCCCCTCCAAAAATAATCCCCTCAAAAAGGGCCTTTGAAAATATAAGCGCCGGGGCATATTTTCGGAATTTTACGGTATGAGCCCATGCATCACCCTGGTTCTAGCCTGCAAGCAGGCTCAAACCTCTTGTACAGTAACGGGGATGCCCCTTCCGCTGGACAAAAGTAACGGAGGCTCTGGGGACGAGATTAGCTCGGGGAACGTCAGCCTGCTCGCAGGCTACCCTGGTTCCATCAAGGACAACAAGATGACGTACCAAGTCAAAAGCACGGAGTTATTTGAGTGCGCCAAATGAATGAAATTTGGAGTTGTTTTCGAAGCGGGCTTTATCACTGAAATGGCGATTCTGCCCCACCTTTCTCGGTTTTACTGCATTGTTAGGTCGAGATGCTATACTGGGTCAAATCGGAGCAAAGAAAAAGGAATGAGAGTCAAAGATCGCACAAAAAATGGGGCGAGTAAAAGAGCGGGGTTGGCTCTCGTTCCATTTTTTGCGTGACCAAAACCGAAAATCTTGTTCCTTGGTCCTTCTTTGCTCCGAAACCACACGGAAACGCTTGCTACACAGGCTAAGTCCTTGTGGTCCTTGTGGCCCTTCAATCCCTGTGGTCGTTATTGCTGTTGTGGTCCTTGTGGTCGTGGTAGTTGTGGCCATTGTGGCCCTTGTGTTAACTGGATCACTCTTTATCTCCTGAGTTAAGAACACTTTGTCCCAAAAAGTGAAGCCATAAATAATGAAGGCCTTATTAAAATAATAGGGACCTTAAGATCCGAGGACGGTGAAGGCAGTGAAAACTCGTTGAAAAAGTGAATTCGCTTTCTTTCAATCTTCATCGCGATTACTCTAAGTCACTAACTTTGTCAAATGTAGGCAACCCCTCCTAAAGTTGAAGTCCTAAGAACCATATCCAAGTTCAGAAAGAGAGAGGAAATCTCGTCGTCGCTTGTGTACTTCCTCTGTACATCGTAAAATTAAGCATTTTCACGTCGTAGTAGTCGTGCAGTGACGGCAAAGAAATGTACAAAAAAGCATGATGCACGTGCAAAATTGTTGTTTTGCTAATTAAACCTTTTGCTTTGGTGGCGTTCCCGTAGCCGTCGCCGTCGTCGGATCTTAAGGTCCCTAATTGCTTGACTAAAGACAGTATAGAACTTATTCAGTCTTCTACAAGATTTGCTAGCTCTGGAAACTAACCATCTTATAACAAGTATTTTTTTCTGCCAGGCGCACGAGTAAAAGTAAAGAATTGGCGGAAAGATCAGCCGTAGGAGAGAGGAATTTATTACCTGCTGCGCTTTACGTTCTTTTTCTTTTCTGATTTCATCTTCCTTTGAGGCCAGTTTCTCTTGACTTGCTTTAAATGCATCACAGTCTTTGTCACAGTCCATTTTAGCTTCACCTTTCTGGACTACATGGCAAGGGAAATCCTTAAGAAGACACATAAAGCAGAAACCTATGAAGCAAATTTTATCTGGAATGCTGAACAAGATGTTCTGTAATTAATCTGTTATTACTAATGATAATAGGGATGAGTGGAGTCCAATTCGGTCTGTAATCATACGAGTGATTAACAAAATCAGACGACCGCATAGCATGATTATAAATCAGGACAGTTGATAGCCAATCAGATTTGAGAATTTTGGTGTAGTCATGATTAACAATGTTATTGTATGGGGCTGACTTAATTTGCCTATTTCTCAGCACGGTTTCAGGATATAAACAGATTTTTTTGTCAGAGAAATTTCTCAAAAACTAGATGAAATCCAGCGAGTAATTTTTTTTGCGCATTCTTAACCACTCTGACAAACACTTTGAAATTTTTCATTGGCCGTTGAGCTACTAAACTCAAATTCCTGTCTTGTCATACTGACCTGTGATTGGCTGATTAATTGTTGGGTGTTCCCTTTTGAGTTAGCTACACAGTAAATATTGCTTTGACTTTGGAGAAAAGCACAGATACCATCAAAGTTCAGTTGGAAGTAAATATATAATTGCAGGAAACAGATAGCTTGAGAAACTCTTTGGAACATAACTATTCATAACAAATACCGTAAAATTCCAAAAATAAACCCCCTGCATGTATGAGCCCCTCCAAATATAAGCCTCCCAAACTCGTAATGCAAAAAACCCTCTGTTAAATCGCCCCTCCAAATATAAGCCCCCCGGGGGCTTGTACTTGGAAAATTGCCCTCAAATACAAAGTATTAAAAACAAAGCAAAAATGGTAAATTTACTTCCAACTATAAGGCTAGCCCAATCGATTTTGAAATGCAAATTTTGCTCTGTATATAAGCCCCTCAAAAAGGGCCTTTAAAAAATATAAGCTCCGGGGCTTATTTTCGGAATTTTACGGTATTAGATTAAAAACAAGCTCACTTTCTTTTTCCGTCTGCAAGGACATCTTACAGCAGTTTTTTTGCTACATGTCTTGGGTGAGGGACAGGACCCGCCATGGCATAGAGATGGGCAGCGGTGACCACACGCAGCAAGGTTCTTTGGGCACTGATTTTTACAGGATGTTAGATCATTACATGTTTGTTCGTCAGATGAAGTCAGCTCACTAAAGAGGATGAAAGTTGAGGTAAACAGTGAGAAAAATACAAATGGGCATAAAATCCAATTCAAATGAGGTGGTAGGTGGCCAGGGGGAATATAACCTTCAGTAAAAAGCACTTTGTATCACTGGCTGAGAAAAGAAAATTTCTACTGAGACTGTTTAAAAAATTATCTTTCTTACATATTCACCAGGCTCAGAATTCACCATCACACATGAGCACATATCAGCATTCTTGTCCTAGCAGTATGTAGGATTTTTGTCACATGAACCTTCAGTTTATTGGCCTTGGCCACAAAAATAATTGTCGTCCACAGTTCATCTTATCTGGTATACTATAGCGCTGGGAATATCGACATAACGTCACCTGAAGAATTTTTTATCTTATAACCCACAATTAAGTGTCCGCATTAGCGAGGTTGACTTTATATGACAAGCTGTTCATTGGGAAAGAAAACAGTTGTCTGCATTAACGCATGTCCGTATTGCAGTCAACCAGGAAAACTGTGAACACCAAAAAAATATCTGGAATGTTATTGTGATGCAAGAAAAAAGCCAACTAGGAGTGAGAAAACTAAACTGCAAGCAAGAACGTTAATCAGGACATGCTTGCAAATCTACCTGTACATGGAATGGTGTATCTCAAGGTCTCTAATTACAAAGTAATAAGATGTTTGATACCTGCAAGACACATAAACTGGCATCAGTCTGCAGTGACATAACAACTTTACCACCTGTTTACAACTTGGACAATCACCTAAAATAAACAATCAATATTATGTCAGCCTCAATTCAGTTTTCACATGCTAGAATAATTTTTTAATCATTGCTGCAATTTCTCTCAGAAAGCTAACATCCAACAAATGACTTTTATGACAGTTAAATTGTCACCTTTGTGACATGGTAGTGGACAGTCATGGGTGCATCCTTCTGGGCGTGGCTTGGTGCAAGGTTCCTCGCAAACTTGACATTCCTTACCAGCCTATCCAACAGGCAAAAAAATTACTGGTAAGTGAAATGTTCTCAATAACTATAATTACTACTACTGTTACTGACTGCAGTTAATATAGTGTTGAGGAATTGAGGACTATTTTGAAGAGCACTTTAAGACAAGAGGCGCAAACATGGCATAACATGCATGGCTCAGGTTTTAAAGTGTCAAAAAGATTTGAAAACACGAGATGATTTTGTTGTTTTCATTAATTTTTGCCTCAAGGGGGTTTAATTTCAGAAGGTCACTAAGCACTGATCTAAATTCTTCTGAAAAGTACAAGATCAGTATAGTGATAAAGGAACTATGAGCAGACGAGGTTTTGTTATTGAAACATAAAGGTGCTGTAAAACAACAAAAATGTAAAATAGTGTGATTTAAATTAACATCGATGTAAATCAAGATGCATTAAATTAAAGCAATTTTTTTAAAATTGCGCTAATAAAGTGCATCATTAATTTCCTATGGAGGCTTGGAATAGCTTGAAGTGCACTTCTTTTCTGTCCGGGGGGGATGTGTATAGAAAGGTGAGGATGTATTTCCATAACTTTCACTTAACTTACAGTACTTAATGCTCTTTTCAGTACTCATACCTCTTGGTCATTGGTGGCGGCATTACTAACAACATGACACTCCAACTGACATGTGTGGTTTCCACATGGCAACTGTCGTCCACAGGCTCGTGCACAAGAGAATGGTTTGGCACAGTGACATGGCAGGGAGGAGACCTATGACAAAGAAATTTATTCTTAGGCTTTTTTATGTTAATAAATGTGATAAAACACTAAAGTTAAATTTTGAAAAACCCCGACATTCTACATGTAGACCACATACCTCATGTTTTCCAAAGCAGCTCCTATCATAATTTAAAAAAGCATATTAATTAAATGCTTAATTTAAACAACTTAAGGATAATATGCATAAGGTAAAGTATGGAACATTACACAGGCTGGGCTTATTGTCAACAAATATATTTTCCTATTTAAGCTCAAGAGCCCACCTGTTTGAGTATTTTGAATGACATATTATGACAGTGATAAATAAATTACAATGATGATATTTCTCTTAAATTTGTAAATAAAAAATTTGTCTTTTTCATGTAGGTGTGACACTTCAAATGAAAACTACGTTAGAGTTTTTTCATTGGAAAATGCCACTGTCTAATAATCTTTATTTCACTTATAATTTATAAAGGTATATAACTAGTGTTACTTGGCCTTTTATATAAAACTAACTAGTGAGTAAAAACTAAAAATGCAAAAATTACATTTTAATTCCTATCCTAAATTATAGCTAAGTCGATCTAAAAGTGATCAGCATTGCAGACTGGAAAAGTGAGTTTGACATGCCTAAGCCTAAAAGTACAAAATGTTGCTGGATTGATTCTGGGAAGTGATTGAAACAAAGGATGTCCTTTGCCCTCGCTTAGTTTATTTATGTGTTTATCTGACTTAACTAACCAATATAAATGTAAAATGGAAATGGGAAAGGAGGTCTGGCAGGGTCAGAGTGCACAACTACTCACATTTCAACTGGAACAGCACATGGTGGGCATGGCATCGGAACAAACTCAGTAGGATTTGCGGCAGACTTAAACCCAGCAGGCCAACCATTCAGTGGTGTCTAAAAATAACAAACCTCAAAAGTCAGTCATGCAGACGTGCATCGATATACCTGTTAAAAATTTAACTGCAGCAAACAGAACCAATTATTTTGTTATAATTTGCTGAAAAGGAGAGCTAAGTGTCTGTCAGATAATCTGCCTATTGAGGATGACATTTTTTTAGTCAGTGGCATGGTTGACTCAGAAACAAAATGTGAGGTCTTCCAACAGGATGTGGGCATATGACTTCACCTGCACTTGGTACTAGTACAGGTGCTCTACAACTAACTGACTTGAGAGGCCTGGTTTTGTTTTAACCAATATTCATGGTCATTTTCTTTAACCTATGATTTATAAGTTGGAATGGCAGAGAAAAAAAAATTGATTTGAAATAAAATGACAACTTTGTATGAAAATATGATAACATTTCCTAATACTTTGCAATAATATTGCAGGATGGTCATTTTTGAGAGCATTACCCAAGGGCGGATTTAGGGGGTGGGCCAAGGGGGCCATGGCCACTCCTTTTTCTCTGAAATTCTGTATTATTTTAAAAGAATTCTCAGAAAATAAAAAGTAGCTATGTAGCTGGCAAGTGGGCAAGTGTCCCAATCACCCCTTTCTGAATTTTCTGGATCTGCCTCTGTTGCCTTCATGAACATTCACTAGCATGCACAACTTAAAGACTAAAAAAGAACTGACCTTAGGGACCTTAGATGGATCAGGTTTGTTGTCATGGCAACGAGCAGGACAGGTATGCCTGCAAGGATGTACAAGATCGCAGCGTTGGCTACAGGGAGGACATGCACCATAATGACACCGATGAGGCTAAAAACAATGAGAAGATTATTTTTAAATTATATAATGACTGCTTACTGAGACTGAGTTCTCACTGATCTCGAGGGATTTTTCATATGCCTGGAATTTTGTACATATCTTGGGAGGAAACTTTTGCCCAATGACCCTCCTTGTCTTTATCATTTTTTTAGGTTCATAGATTATGTTGTATAAAAGAGAATAATAATAATAATAATAATAATAAAATATATGTCGTAGTTAATTTTTGATTTCAGTTAACTTTTGTTTTTCCTTTGTTTCAAATTCATTAGCATACATTACCTTACCCAAAAACTAAGGAAAAACAAGAATTAACTAAAATAAAAAATTAACTACTACAACATATACCTTTTTAATCTTAAGAACAGAGGAAATCTACACACTTGGACATTTAGCATTACTAGCTGTAGATTGTTCTTAAATTTATCGTTTTATCATTTTATTTATTTATACAAATATATGTATATCTGTCTGATTTCATTAAAACGTGGCCACTAGGTTTTCGCCTGGCACTGGGCACAGCCCGGCCCCAGGCCAGTGCAGTGTCCAAAAAAGTAGGGGGCGTGACGTCTTGGTTGGTACAGCTGGATGGCTCAGGGACTGCCCTAACATTGGGTGGGTGGATCAGGCCTGGGGGCAAATTTAGTGGGGTATGGAGGGGGTTATTTTGGCACAACCCCTTCAGTAGGCAGCAGTGTTCACTATTTAAGGCTTTGACTGGCAAGTGCCTTGTTCTTACTTTGCCCTAGCCAGCTGAATCAGGCCTCTGCTGACAATGGTTTATATCATGATAATTGCAGAGCTCAGTGGGAGGGGCAGACAGTCACCCAGTGTTCTGGGTGGGGAAAGTCAAAGTCTTGGTAACAAGAACATACTTAGCTGAGGACCTGTAGATACTCACTGAAGCCATGTCTACATAAATTCAGTCAGATATATATATTTATTATATAAACTGCAGTGTTTTACAAGGATTTCTACCCCCGAGAAATGTGGTATCTGAACACACGTAAAAATACGATATTTTTACATCTGAAATTATTGATATTTGATAGTTTGAGAACATTTTAACCATTTATCTTGTCTTTTATACTTTGAACAAGATACCGGACATTTTTAATATTTGTATTTATTTTTTACTGTACTTTGTAGAGCTCCGAGTTTACACTGGAGTATTTTAAACAATGAATTACATTTATCGGGTTCTCGACTATATGGCATAGTTTTGGTTTATGGAATGGCTGATTCTTGTTTATATAATAAACAGAATAATACATGGACGCTTGGAGATATGGAATTTATCTTCTCGTGTTCACATTCGATATCTCACTCGTTCGCTGTGCTCACTCGTTCGATATCGATGTGAACACTCGCAGATAAATTCCATATCTCTGCGCGACCATGTATTATTCTCTATTTATTATATAAACTGCAGTGTTTTACAAGGATTTCTATCACCGAGAAATGAGGAATCTGAACACACATAAAAATACGATATTTTTACATGTGAAGATATCGATAATTTCACTGACATCAGGTTTGTCTCTTAAATTGTACTTAAATTCGTTGGTGTATCATCGAAACATCTTTGGGTCTTCCTCGAAAGTGCTCGGCAATCTTCGGAACTCTTCGGACATCTTCGGAAATTTTCGGGAATTCTCGGAAAATGTTCGGGAACGTTCGTCTGGTCTTCGGGACAATTTGAAAAATCTTCGGAAATCTTCGGAAGGTGGTCGGAAATCTTCGGAAAATCATCAAAAACGCCGTCATCAGTATGTTTATATAATAAAAAGAATATTACACGTTAGCTCGAAGATATGAATTTTATGTTCTCGTGGCAAGAGCAATATCTCACTTGTGAGATATTGTTCTTGCCACGCGAACATAAAATTCATATCTTCTCGCCTCCGTGTAATATTCTCTATATAATTTTTATTTTATTTATTTATTCATTAATTTATTCATTTATGTTAATTTATTTTTTTCTGAGGCTCTTCCTTAGAGCCCCAGGGTCACTTCCAATGCACCTGGTGGTTGTTGCTATATGCAGGGCTTCTGACAGGTCGCGGAAAAAAAGTTAAATTTCGCGGGATTTTTAGGGCCAAAATCGTGGAAAAATCGGCCGATTTTGCAGGAATTTCCCAGGAATATTCGGGGCAAACTTGGCCGAAAAGCAATCCGTGAAAAAACGGCGGATTTTGTGGTTATTTTCGGGCAAATTTCGCTAGGAATCGATCGGTTTCACACTGATCAGACCAGCGTTTTTTAATGTTTTTCTATTAAACAGAGGTTGAACAATATGCTCCAGAAATGAACCAGTGGCAAAGCCTTTAACATCATGGCTAGTGCCCAGTTTTTTTGCAACATAATCTACGCCTGGTAGTTTCGGAACGTTGTTTGCACGTTTCAGTGATGAAGTTTTGACATAAATTTGCGAGTTTACAGCAAGTAAATACCCCCGGTAGCTGAGTCAAGTTTCAAAATTGCTGTACAGACATGTATTTGATAAGATTTCTACCGAATTTCGCGGTATTTTGCGTGTTTTTGTGAATTTTGCAGAATTTCACAGCTCCGTGACCGCGCGAAATATTGGAAGCCCTGTATATGACACCCAGACACATATACTGTCATAATAATAATAGTAATCGTAATAACCATAATAACAGCGTGTACAGGACAAGAGCATTGAAAGTCAAAATGCTCTTGTTCCAATAATTTGATGCTGTTCTTTGCATAAGTTTCATGTGATGGATGGTGGAAACACAAAAGATCAGTGATAGAAGGTCCAAACATGCGTGGTCAGATTGCGTTTCTTCATTCTGTGCATTCCATTCATTCTTGGTGGAAGTCTAAATGAAGCTACATATGTTCCATGCACACGTAAAAACAACCTGGAGATTAAGATTGCAGGCTCCTCTTAATTGTCACCCACAATAACTATTATGCATCTTATCTGTTTCATAATATTATATGATATATAATAGTTTCTAACCTTGCGTTGTTTATGATGGCAGTCTGGTGGATGTCTAGATCGATAAAACAAAGCCAGGATATTAAATTAGGACAAAAGCCAGTAGAACAATTGATAAGAATTAGTTTCTGACAGTAAAAATCAAATGTTCCTCCTAAAATGTACTTCGCAGGGAAAAAAAAAGAACAAGATAAAAAAACTTACGTGCAAAGTTCAGAACATTTTGGTGGCTTAGTGACTCTTTCACGGCCACATGGTAAAGTTAACACTGTTGCACCACAGAAACACTTTATGTCCACTGGAAGGGGGCAGGGGTAACAATGGCCTACAAGCAATCATGTCATATTAAATTGAATTGTCATTGATCCTCTGTAACCACACTGCATTCACCTGATTGAAAAATACCTCTTTAGAGGACAGTTGGTTTTACTGGAATAGGATAGTGATTTAAATGGCAGACAGTATTATTGTTATTTGAACAAATGGACACTGGTTATAAATATGACCACACCCACCAGTGAAGCACTAGGGAACCTTTAGGCAAAGTGAGAAATTGCCTGACTAATGTTTATTTCTAGAGAGTAAGCAATTTTCCAAAGATTCATATGGAAAGTAAAAACTACCTCCATGACTGGCTGAATAATAAGGCTGTAAGATATTTCTCTATCACTTTTCTTACAACAACAAAATATGGTAATTTGTTACATGAATTACCTCTGTGACACTGTGATGGGCATTTGTGATTCCGACAATTCAGGGTTCGGTTACAAGTCTGTTCACATGGAGGGCAACTACCACCACAGCACTGGAAGCAAATACGTAAAATTTAATATATACTATGAACATCACCAGAAAGCTGAAGAGAAGCGTGCTTGCTGCAAAAATAGCTCTATGTCCTCCTCCAACCTCATCTGCACCATGAGCAGTAGGGCTGCTAAGTGACTGGAAGGGTGTCTAGGATTTTTATGGCTACAGGTTTTTATGAAATAATTCAGACATCATGGCTGTGCGATGCAGTTATTTTGTGCATTATTTTGTCATAATGTGACTGTGTGATGTAGTCATCCTGTCAGTTCACAAATGACCTGCTCATCACTGGAGTTTCCAGTAGCTTGAGCAGTGGTTAGAGCATCCGATCAGTGTTTGGAAGATTGTGGGATTAATCGCCATCTGGAAGTCAGAAACCTTTTTCTCTCCACACAAATTATTCCATTTAATAATTCAGACATCTTAAGAATAAAATCCCACCTTTCTCTTACACTGATGCCGTTCACATTGCCTCATTTTAAGGCATTTTAAATCACATAAGAACTCCTGTGAACAAATGACATCTTTCTCACGTTTGCCACAACGACAAGTTTTGGTCACCAACTGCCTGCAGATGCCACATGATCTTGTGTGACACTGCTGAGTACATTTATGTCTGCCGCAAGCTAAGGGTTTATCACACGTACCACCACAAGTTGGAACATCTTCAGTGCAGGGCAATGAAACAGCTGTAAGAGTCAGAGATTTTGTGTTAAATGAATTAATTTTACATTTTGATTAAGGATGCATTATGTAAACAGTGCCCCAATATTTTGCAAATTTGTCCCCAAAATTTTGTCCATGATTGTAGCTCTGAATCCTTGCCCTGACAAGTATACATAACAGATCATTATTATATAAAATTATGTGAATTATATATCCTGTATACGTCTAGGATGAATAGCAAGTACAGTGTAAGCTGAATGTTCATAATGAGAGGAATGGCCTAATCTAATAATAATATTAAGTTGCAGCCAGCAGGTCAAAAGTCAGGTTAAAATTTTTGGATTAATTTAGGTTTCTAGGAAACTAACCATGTACCCCTACCCTAAGCTAACATTAACACTCACTTCTCACTTAAGGCATAATGACAGCTTAGGAAAGGGGTGGGTGGGCAGTTTCCCAGAAACCTAAATTGATCCAAATTTTGTAATCATGTTGTTGAGTCTCAAAATAACCTTTGTCTCTTAGCTCTTATTCATGAATAATTATGGCTGGGCCAAGACAAAGGTTAAAATATTTTAACGTAAAATTAGTTTTGACCTGTAACATATATGCTTAAAGTTTATGTATCACTAAAAAAATAAAGGTTTAAATAAAAATGGCTATTTTACTTACAAGTTTGTCCACAGGGACATTTCCTTTGTCCTGTTCTTGGACAATCACCACAGCTGTCTGCATGACACACCCTCTCACATCGGTGATGACCACACGACAAGGCTTTGTTGCAAACCTAAAAGGATTTAGAAGTACATATTAAGACCAAAGACTTCCACAGAAGGCCTAGGGTATGCAGTCAGAGCAACAGCAACAAACACGGATCATAATACGTTGCTGGGAAACTGCCCCCTTACCCCTCCCTAACGCCAACATTAACACTTATTTCTCACTTAGGCCAAAATGTTGGCTTAGGGGAGGGGTAGGTGGGCAGATTCCAAGAAATGTGTAATGATCCACGTACATGTCAGTCTTCCAACAGTGCATGTTTCATCACCACCTTTTGACTGTAAATAAATTATCATTCTGCCTAGGCATCTGACACTAGATCCAAATACAATGGTAGGCCATTGGCCTGTTTGTGAGTTGCTTCCACATTCCATTGCTTTAATATTACTCTCCTCCACACACCCCTCTGTATCACTGAAAGTCAGGATCAGCTACCAAATATAATTATTAAAAACAGAATCATTGGACAATGTAATTATTCTAGAGCTCTGATTGGCTTAGCCATCATAGCATGTGAGCCATTACACCATGCTCTCCAAATATGGTAACTGTACGCATCTGCTCAAAATTAAAAACAAGCTGAAAATTACTCAGTGGGTCGATCCTTGTCAGTAATTGCCTTACTCAAGCAAAAACCAAGTCTTCGCGGGTGATTGCTTATGACTAGAGATGGGACTGTACAAGCATGATCAGTGACACTACCTGTTCACACTGCCATTCTGGGCTAGCACAAGGTCTTTTACTCTTCATTTTACCGCATTGACAACTCTGTAAACTTTCCTTAGGACAAGGCAAACATTCACCTAAAATCATAAAAAAAGATTAAGTAAGAAGCTTCATCCATTTCATTCATAGCAGTTAATCAAATCCAAGTAAGAATTTAAACAAGGATCAATAATATTTATTTTGATGAGTACATACCAGAATGACATGGTGTCTCACAGTTATGATGACCACAAAACAAGCGCTTCCCACATGGTTTTCCACATGACCACAATTTAGCACTGCAGCGTCTTACAACAGGAGGATGCACAGCACAGTGACAAGACACCCGCACAGTCTTAGGACAAGGAGGACAGGGACCTGCAAGGGACACATTAAGCAGGCTGCAATAATTTATGATTGTTACTATACATATAGGTATCAAACAAGGCTGGAGGTTTAAAAAACATGAAGCAGCTACTGCAGGCATCATGATGTCACACATGACATGTGATCTACTACATTTACTGTGTTTCGTAACGCCTGCTCTCGGCTTGATTCAAGTGATGGGTAGAAACGCTTCATAAAACAAAGAATTTTTTGTACCTTTTGATCCCAAATGTTAATACATATGTATTAGTTGGGGGTGTCAGTTTCAAGAAACTGAAAACGTCACAAAAACACAGACCACGACGCTAAAAACATACGGTTTAAAAGTTATCTTTATTCATTTTTCTTACGTTTGTCAACATTTGAGATCACAAGGTGCAAAATTCTGTGTTTTATGAAGCATTTCTACCAATCACTTGAATCCAGCTAAGTGCAGGCATTATGAAATACAGTAAATTCATGGGATCTCATGTCACACATAACATCACATTACCTCAAACAGTTCGGATGGTGCACCTGCGCTGCAGAAGAATAGTTTACTGCTTCTCACCCGAACCCCTGGATAAGGTCCTATGTCCATTACAGTGTTGCCTTGGTGGTATGTCACTGTAGCCATTTATACTCCTTTTTTGCACTTTAACATAGGTAGTACAGCATTTTTACGTTATTTTTTCTTAACTTGACTTGCCTATCAACTATGGACTAAGTAAAAGTTCTGCCAAAAAGATTTAATTTGAATGGCCATGATAACATGAGAGAATTTTATCCAGAGAATCAAAAGTTAGAAAGACACTAGTTATATCACAACTTTAATAATTTTACGAGTGTAATTAATGATGAACAAGCAACGTACCAGGGTGACAAAGCAGCAGGCAGTCATGACCACAGTCAGGTTTGAGAGGCTTGCTACAAGACTGGCCACAGGAATGTGGTGTCAGCCATGGATCAAAAGAGGGATTTTCCTTAAAAAAAGACAGCACCAAATGAATATTATTGATATAATTCCTACAAAAAGCAAAATACTCAGGTTTGAGTTCACTAACTGTGAAATTTTTCAAACTGGAATAGAATACATGTCGTTACCTGTTTTCCACAGAAGCAGTAATATCTTGTGGGACATTCTGATTGTTTGAACTCATACCTGCACTTTGGGCTAAAATTAAGAAAAAGTCACCTGACCTCAATACTGTGGAATCATAGACACATACATGTAAATTATTAACTATTCAGGGTAGTCTGATCATGAAATATCTGCCATCGTTTTGCTCCACCCCTCAACAGGAAGCCAAGCAAGAGACTCTCTCAGGCTGGGGCAAAGAGGTGGCTGGCATTTCAGAATACTGTTCAGGGCTGCCACTAAGATTTTAAAACGCCAGGTAAATACAACAAGTAGGCGGGGAATCAAGGTGGTTTTATCTTTCTTCTATAGAGAGGAGAAGTCTTCACCTCACATTGCCATGGTAGCAAATTTTTTTGGATGACAACAAACTGAAAACATCACTTAAAAAGTGAATTTGCACAGCTTCAAACTTCCATCCATCTTATTAAATATCATTTTTTGTCAAATATTGGCGAAACTTTCTGGGGTTGAATCCAAAATGACCATATCCATGTTAAGAAAAAGAAAATTTTTGTGTTCTGTTCACCTACTCCATAAAGTGGGCCATGAAATTAGGAAGTTTCATGTGAATGGCTCACTTGTGCAACGATGGCTAAGACATGTACATAAGCATGATGCATGTGCAGAGTTCTTGTTGTCCTAATATAAACCTATTGCTTTTTTGCCTTTCTTGTTGCCATCGCCATTGGTTAAGCCTCCAGTTGTTGTGATCCAGAAATTTTGCTACCATGATGGTAACATGATGTCACAATTCTCCTCTTTATTAACCTAGAGAAGAAATCAAGGGCCACATTCTTAGTAGCCCTTGGGAAAATCCTTGGCCCTCAGCCCTTGATGACAGTCCTGACTGCTGATAAAATTATCAAATTTATTTTACCAGTGCCATGGGATATCAGCTGGAGATATATTTTCTTGAGAATTCAACTGAGTATATGCAGCACCATCCCTGGCCCACTTCTGTATACACTGAAGGTGTAGAGTAGAGAAACACTGGCTACAGGTCCACACCTGAAAAGAACAATATATTTTCAGACTTTTTCCTCATGACATAACAAATAATTGATGATACTAAACCTCATCAGATATTATTATAATTATTATAATAATATATGATTATGAAGTTGATGATGATGATGATGATGATGAGGATGATTGTGAGGATGATAATGATGACGATGATGTTGATGATGATGGCAACATCAATGTCACAATGTTTGAGAGAGTCATGGGTAGAAAGTATTCTTTGTTGAGCTCAATTTTATCCTTGTTCAGATTGTTATCGTAGCAGTGCCAGCAAGAATATCAGCGCCCATGTCCAATGACATTCGGCGGATACTTCAAGCAGTTTCCAATGTAACAATTGTCAGCGTTACCGCGGATCCCGAGTGGGTCTGACTGCCCACACAAGAACCTGTTTAAGATAGGCCTCAACTCAAATACAAGACAGTCATCTTCGGCAACGAAGGACAACCAATTTTTTTATTATTTTATCATAAATTAACATACCCCAAAACACAAGGAATATAGTTATTTTCCACCAGGATAAAACTCAACCACAACATATACACCTCAAACCAGTATCTTATGTTTCAACTTCATTAGTAGTTTTGTGAATGAGGCATGGTGAGTACAATGTGCCTTGTTCTAAGAAAATTCCACTCTATATCAAATGGACGTGCAATGCTGAGTATATATACCCTTGCTGTTTCAGGAGCCATAGGAACTTTCATCCCTGAAAATTCTGTCCGAACTACTGAAAACTACTTAAGTAAAAACTCACAGCATCAATGTGCCTGATGGAAGCGATACAAATTAAACAGATGCTAGCACCAGGTTTGCATGATTCCAGTAAATATTGCGCAGCTTTTTGTAGATCTGATTCATTATCTGCAATAGAAGATAAAATAAATGCATTTAACTGCACTACAGAAGTTGTGATAAAAAAAATGACGTAACCAAAAGGCAAGTTCAGTTATAACACAAAACATTCAAAAAGTCAAGTTCTCTGGCCAAGCTGTTCAAAATATGGATAGCGTTATCCACTGGATAAATCTCTATCCACTGAATAACAACTGATTTCCCTATTTATTATATCCACTTTGAAATCACTCGCTATCCGTGCAATCTGATTGGCTCTCAGCAGTGTGATTTATTCCTAAATCACACCATTTTTTGCTCTAAATCGCATCTGTTCCATATCACGTCATTCATGTTCTAAATCGCATCATTTCTGTTTTAAATCGCACCATTTTTGTTCTATATCGCATCATTTCTGTTTTGAATACAAAGTGAGAGGTAAAAGCCTTTTTGTTTCGGCTTTTTAACAAACCGGCTACTCGACCAATAAAATATTAGTACTGGCTAAATTCTGCGATTTCAAAATGGATGTAATAAAGTGGTAGTAGAACTTCGTGTCGTGCAATTTTGGTCTGAAATCATACTTGTGATTTCAAATCAAACTCGCACTGCGCGCTCGTTCGATTTTGAAGTCACGCGTATGACTTCAGACCAAATTGCACTCCACTCAGTTCAATTACCATTATTAATCATAACTATAACAAAATTGTCAAATCTGATTGGCCATCAACTGCCCTGATTTCAGCCTTAATTGGACAGTTTAATAGGACAGTACGTGTCATGCCTAAGTAATTGGACAGTACGCGCCATCACGTGCGCGCTTAAATGGCTTTTTTTTTCACTGCTAACAAAGCAAAATTTCAAATTTCTTGTGTTTTGATTCAAAAAATAGCCTATCATATCACAAATTTTGTTAAAGTTATGATTAATAATAATTGGTAACAGAACTTCGTGTCGTCCAATTCGGTAAATCATACTTGAGATTAAACAAATCGGACTCCCGCTACCTGGTCGTCCGATTTTGTTAATCACTCGTATGATTACAGACCGAATTGGACTCCACTCAGTCCTGTTACCATTACTAATATACTTATTCACTGGATAGTGATTTATCCAGTGGATTAAGTGCTATCCAGTGTTTGAACAACCAGGACCTGAAGTCTCATTACTGTTTACGAGGCAAATTTTGCCTCATAATCGGTAGAAGTTGTCATTATTGTTTCTTGATCTCTTATCAGTATATACAGCAGAGTAAAGTGTCTGCTGCTGTATCCTTATAATATTAAGGTGTTGGTACACAGGATTAGACTTGCAACAGTGATTTTTAGTGCAATTTGGCATTAGAATTTTGTGTTGCAAGTTTTTTGCCAACATTTAATTGGGTTAATGTTATGGGAATTTGAGCAGGCCTGTCTAAAAAGATCAAATACCTGGGGGGGTTGCGCCCCCCCGGGGGAGGGGGGTATGTTGAAGCTTCAAATATTATTCATTGACACAACCCATGATTTTCATAGCCCAGATGTCATGAAAAAATGAGATAATCATCAGTGATTTGGCAGAGGCATATCTTGTGTAATACATACGACTTGATAGGGGACGTATGAAATCCGAAGGGTTATTTTTCTGTCGGCACCTTTGGCTTCTTTGGAGAAAAAATCCCCCCAACCCCCGGATAAAAAATGGAATGTCCCCTCATGACCAAAACAATCAAACTTTGTACATTGCACTCTACCGAGCATAAAATCGCCAAAACAGCAGCTGAAATGTTAAAATGTATCAATACCTTGAGAAGTATGCCTGTAGTTCTTCAAAGTGTTATTTAATATTTCATCGTCATTGATCTCCTCGTCTTCTGAAGAGTCTTCAAACTCGTCCTCTGCTTTTTCCATGTATCTTTTCGCAGCTTTCTTTATTTCCTCTGCTTTTTCCATTCTCTCCTTAGAAACTTCATAAGTCTCGGATGATTTTCCAGCTGTAATTAAACCCCTACTACTGGAATGCAAGTTGACTTGGGATCGTAAATTCCCGGCGAATCGTCCTGACCGTTGCCTTGAATTTGTGTCATTTTCCTTAACTCCGCGTCCCCTTCCCCGGCCTCGACCAAGAAATGATGGTCGCTTATCCATTTTAATCTGCGTCTTAACTTCCGGCTCTACATTTTCTCAAACAAATGGGCTAAAATTCAGCGTAAACAGCTGAACTATTGTGACCGGCACACGAGTCCACGAGACAAAATTTTATGGTGATTATGTGAGCCAACAAAATGAAAGACAGCGGCTTATCACACTTCCATTTTTTCCATCGTGTAAATGGAATCCAAAGTTCTACATCACGAATCCGAAATTGAAACGAAAACATGGCTTCGAGCTCTGTAAGAGAAGTGTCGTTTTTATTTATTTAGGTTGTGTCTTTATTGTTTAATGTTAATATGCTGTCTTTTAGATACGCTTGATTGAATCAGAGGCAATTTAAATGTAAATTACCTTAAAGTTTTCAGTGTCTGAGACTGTTACTTTACCGTTAACACACAGGGAGGCAGGAAGCTGGGTGAAGGTGATACTGAACATGATCTGATTCATTCCTTGGATGAACTTTGCAAAGAATATGATCCCGAAACAGCCAGACAAGCTATACAAACAATGCTGACGTTGGCAAAGTAAGCATGCTACCCATCATCTTGTTTTCATTGAGCTTTAATTGTGTTAGGAATGAATGTATTTAATTTTAAAGAGGGCTATTGTAGATTTTTCGCTCTTCTGGTCAGCTGTTTATGGCCTGCTGCGTAGAAATGTGAGCACTCAACAAGCCGAATATTTCATAAATTACATGACACAACCTGAGGCTGATGCCCACATTTGTATTCTGACGGTTCTGATATATCCCTGGAAATATATGTTACAGGTCAAATGTGATTTCAGGTTAATTTTGATTTGCCCTACACCCCTTTGAGCTTTAATTTTTATTGAATGTAATTTCCTTTGTCTCCGAGCCCAAGGAGATGAAGAAAATCAAGAATCAACCTAGGTTGAAAAAACTTAATCTGATCAAATCAAAATTGACCTGTAACAAGTATTCTCAGATTTGGTGGAAGTTTAAGCATGCATGGCATCTCGTAGGCATCTGTGATGGATCCAAATGATACTGTAAATTGCCGCTTAATGAAGCCCCCCCCTGCTCAGTTATACATGCACAGGAAAAAATAACAGATTTCCCATTTTTGGATATTTTAGGGTATTTGAAGAATACCCACAAAAATCCCAAATTTGGAAGAGTAAGACAAGTCCCAACGAGGGAACTTGGTTGGGAATTCCCTGGTTAGGACTTGTCTCACTTTGCCAAATTTGGGATTTTTGTGGGTATTCTTTAAATACCCTAAAATATCCAATATTGGGAATCTGTTATTTTTTCGCGTGATAGGCCAAACACCAAACAAAAAATACATCTCATTATACCCCCTCCTGCCCACTGTATATAAACCCTCTTCTGAATTTGATTTATGAATTAATTTTGTAGCTAAATTGAAAACCAGTAAAGGAAAACAAGCTTTGATCAGCACTGCTGTAACTTGTTTCAAAGTGTTTTTTCTATTCAGGGGTTGATTTAATAAGAATTTTACAAGTTACTGTAATTTACAAGAGTAGCCATTGTTTTAAAAAAAAACAATATTGTTCATGTAATTTCTGTGGCAGTTATGATGGCGGTTGTTGAAGGATGCATATTTCTTTTCCCCTTTGTTGTGCTTTAAAATAGAAGGACTACGTTTTAATTTCAGTGTACTGTAATACAGAGTTTTGGAGCCTGTCTTCAGATTAAGTAATGATCCAGGTAAGAAGGAAAGCAATTTCTATTGTTGTGGCACAATACGCTTTCCTCACATAGAAATGTTTTCATTTTTACGCAGAGAGTGCATAAATCTACAAAACGGCTGTTTACGAAAGAAAATGTATTTAAACTCCACTTTTAAAGGGTGTATTTTTGTGTTAAAACATTTCGACCAATCACAAGAGTTGCAAACAATGGCCAAGAAATGTTCACAATTTTACATGATCCGCACATACGATTTCTGTGTTACTTAGACTCAGACGAGATTTTGTTATAAGGAAGTTGGATAGAAAAAAAAGGATTGATGTACATGCTGCTTTGCGAAGATTTCGTAAAATTTGATGTTTAAACCAATCAGAACCTTAGTAGAGACAATAGTAAAGTTAGCACCTTTTTGCATTCCGACGTGTTCACTGCGTTTTGGTCCTTTCCTTCTTATCTGGACCATTACTTAACTGTCTGGTTACATAAAGGCCCAAGCATTTTCAATTTTGGATTCGTCTTTTTTAATTGGGACTCATGATTTTTCACAAGAAGAGTCCCAGGACTCACCATTTATAACTATTAGTATTTGTAACAAAATCACTGCAGGATGTTGTGGGTTGAGCGTGTGTCAAGTGCAAGTGAATGAGGCAAACACATGGGGGAGCAAACTCCCTTCTTGTCTAAATCACTCTATTGAGTCCTGCTAAGCCTAGACTCAACAGACTGGAAAGGGACTGCTTGCAATATAGGGGAAGGGGTGATACATTGGGATATTGATTGAGATGGACTTGAAGAATGCATTTTTCAGACTTGAAGGAATAAAATATCAACTAATTGTGTGATGTAAAATTTAATTTAACTTAATAGAATTTTAAGGCTATAAACTGTTATTCCATGGCTATGCTCTAGCAATGCCCAGTTGCCATTGAGACCTTTCCTTTACTATTGAGTAACTAGAAAATCTTAGTTTTTTTTCATAGAGATTCTATGCTGGGCACCTTGGATTTCAGAGCACTAGGCTCCCTTCAATTTCTCTAAAGAGCACAGCCTTGTACTCTGTTTCTGTTAATTTAAACTTACTCTTTTTTAGCAATATCATTAAATCTCCTGAAGATGAAAAGTACCGCAAGGTAAAAACCCAAAACAAGGCATTTTCATCAAAAGTTTGGAGCCTTCCTGAAGCTCAGGAATTTCTTATTCTTTGGGGCTGGGATCAGGTATGGAGATTGATGATTGATTACTTTTGTCAACAGTCAGATGATAATAATAATAATAATAATAATAATAATGATCATAATAGTAATAATAATAGTAAATTATCGCCAACTTGTCATTATTTGTTTATAATTAAGTCACTTCACGTTTAACATGCATCATAAAGGAGCAGAGACATTAACAATAATAATAATAATAAAAGTAGGTTGAGTTTGATCGTCCGGGTGAACGTAGTCCTGAATAGGACTGTTGTTGTTGACAGTGACTGATGTTTCGACAACCTGTGCGATAGTCATCTTCAGAGTCAAAGTGAGTTGTATCACGTCAGTTGATGGTATTATACTCTGGTTATTGATTTGGTTGGTCAATTACGTCGTGATGTTAATGGTTGTCTGTCAGTTAAGCCGTGATGTTATTGGCTATGAAGACTCGTAATCAGTAATTGGTGCGTTTTGATCTGTCTATTGTCACAGTTAAACAGTCGTCTATTGTTAGTCAAATTGTCATTCTCTCGTAGTTAGTTTTGCTTGATCTCGTCAATAAGTCGTTTGTACAGCGCTGGTAACTGTTGGCTATGATTCAGTGGCATTTGTTCTAAGTTGGTAAACCAGCTTTCTAAAGTAAGACGTTGTAGTAGTCAGTAGAATACTTTATACATGTCGCAGAGTCCCAGTCAATTTGATGTTTCGTCTGTAAATGGTGCTCAGCAATGTGATTGTTGACGTCACCATTCTTTGTAGCTCATTTGTGTTCAGTCAGTCGCGTGCTTAGGTTTCTGCTGGTTTCACCAATGTAGGAGGCCTGGCAGTCGCAGCATTTGATCTTGTATACTGCTCCCTGTCTGTCCTCTGGTTTGTCTTTGTCCTTGACATTAGTAAGCATTCGCCATTAAGTGGTTATCGGTTTGTGTGCAACACGTATATTGTAAGGTTGTAATATACGTGCAATAGTTTCAGAGGTGCCTCTGATGTACGGTATAGTGGCTGTTGTAACAGGGCCAGAGTTGGTCTGAGTGTTGTAATCAGTGTTACTGTGAGTGTTCTGTCTAACAAAGTCCGTGTTGTAAGTGTTCTTACTAAAAAAGTAGTTAAGAATGATAATCAGTCTCGTCTTGTAGGCTGTCAGGTGAGTCACAAACTAGTTGCGCTCGTCTCGTCAGAGTCCAGATATTAGTAGCCTCGTGAGAGGTCGGGTTGTACGATGTGATAATGATAATGATAGTAATGAAGAGGTGAGGAAGTTTATAAGAACCAGACGTCATATGGAGTTATAAGCACATTATGTCTTAATGCTTTTCTTCCACCAGGAAGTCCTTTTCAGGACAGTTCATAAGTCAGCCTATTTCAGGAATTAAAAAGAAAGCTGAAGGAAAAAAAAATTACAGAAAACTTTAGCCACAAATAGTTAATTTGTAAATTTTTGTCCTTTACTTTTCCCAATAAAAGATAAACCAAATTGATACTGATCCTTCCTTGCATTGTGGAGGGGCGTGTAGCCCAGCGGTTAACACCTTGAACTCCGCATCTTGAGGTCCGGAGTCTCCACTTTGTCTTTCTTCATCCAGGTGTATTAAATGGGTACCAGCAACATACTGCTGGGGGGTAACCCTGCAATGGACTAGCATCCTGTTCAGGGGAGAGTAGCAATACTCCTAGGCATGCTTCATGCTAAGAGAATGGGGATAAGTTCCAGCCGTTTGGGCCTTTGGCTTGTGTGCGCCTTAACCTTTACCCCCTTCCTTACTTTGGCAGGTCGATGAGTGTGTTGTTCTTAAATCTGATGAAGATGTTCAGTTAGTGAAGCAAATACTACAGAAGAAATTAAAGTGAGTTTAGTTTGATTTATGCATGCAATTGATTTATGAATTGTGTAAAAATTCCCCACCAAGAAACGTCCTCATTAAATCTGAAGTAAAACTGTCAAAATCCAATATTGAATGGCATATTCTAATTTTTGCATTTTGAGCCTTCTGTTTGACCAAAACCAGTCAATTATTTTCATACCAGGTTCTTAATTTAGGCTAATATTTTTATGAGCCACTGGACCCTGTCACATGACTCCTCCATGGGGGAGATCACAGAAACCAGTCTCTCACACTTTGTTTTTAAGTTGTAAATATGTTGATTTTTATTGTAATGTTTATTACAAAGAATTCATCAGAGTGCAGTTGGTGAAATAATGTTTTATTTTTTGGATTCAGGTAAAAGTACAATGAAAATGAAAGTCTATTGAATTTTTTTGCAGTGCCATTTCTCTGAAGTCACATGCTGCAGCTGCAAGACTCTCTCGGAATGAACCCGTGAGTCAATCATCATAAAACTGCCAAATCATTGACCTCTTACCGTAAATCCTCTATTAAGCCCCCCCTCTCAAATAAGCCGCCTTCCTCCAATAAGTCCCCCTTTTCAGGGGAAGAAAGTTATTGAGTTCTCCTGTTTCTGTTAAGCCACCCCCCCCCCCTCCCCTCCCCTTATTATTCTTCACTAGTAAAATAATGATAGACTGTATTAATCAATCATGACTGTAAAACTTTGTGTGGACTGATCCAGGATGGTTTATTTACCAATGGAAGTTCGGATTTGATTCTGATCCTTGGCTGCATGACCTCCAACCTTCTTGTTCTTGAGCTTCTCTGCTTTGTATTCTAGTTTTTTATGGAGAACTAAGTGTATAACCCCCGGCCCTGCCCCTGGAAACCATTCATCATTGTTTTCATTTTGCAGCTTACAGAGAGAGAGAAGCAGCTTCAAGAAGAAAGAAAAAAGTTGATGGAAAGGAAAAAGCTGGAAGAACAGGAAAAAGCCAGAATCAAAGCTCAGGTAATAATCTTGACAATATTCTACAAAGTCGAGACACCTACTTGTTGAAAAAATGATGAATATTCAATTTTCTTAATTATCAAGTTCTTTTAGAAGACATTGTTCTCCTTTTAGTTTATCACCAAATTTAAGAAGGATAACGTACACAATCTGATGTAAAGGAAAAAGAAATTCGTCTGAGTTCATACTACAAACGGCTGCTAAAAACAAAATGAATACTTTTAAGAATATAAATATTTTGCTAATATTATTTTGTCTCATTTATTCTTGTAATAATTTTCTTTTTAATATGTAGATTTAGCCAAGGTTAAAGGTGAAGCTCCCATTAATAAATTTATAATTTACTTCAAACAATAAACTTGTAACCATGGTACGGAAAATTATTGGAGTTGAGCCTGCGGTCAGTTGAAAACTAGGAACTTGTCAGCGGATAACTTCCAAAAAACACGCAACCTTGATGGGTCGAAGTCTGAACCCACAATATGGTCATGTGATACTGGTCAGCGGATACCCTGTTTTGACAGCTTTCAATTGACCACAACATGGATGTGCAATATCAGGTTGTGGCTCCCAATCTAGCCAGAAAGTATGACATTTCACATTGGTAATCCTGTGGTGCGGACAGATGATCACGTGACTACCAAAATTTCTGCGATGGGTAGAAACCAGATTTTCTTAGCTATGGGGCTCCACTCGTGCACATGCAGCTCAGCTATGAAAGAGGCTAAAGGACAGAATTAGTCTATTAGTGATATTAGTGATTATTATTTTATTTTATTAAAGGGGTGTGGTCCTGTTATTTTTCAGATTCAAGCTGACAGAAGAGATACAAAAGATAGAGAATCAAGGGAATCAGTGAGTTGTACCTCTCATTCTTTTTGGTGTATTAAAATGAACATTACTGGGATAAATGCTTCAGCAGTATATCATGATTTATTAAAGAACCAAGATAGTACGTGCTCTGATTGGTTAAAAACCTATGGTTTATTGTGCGGGTAAACTCATAGAAAACTGAAAGTTATTTTATAAAAGCAATAGACCACACTTTCTATGGGTTTACCGGCGTGATAACCCACTTGGGATGTTGGGAGAACAAGAGAAAAGCTTGTAAATCACGAGCGGAAGGCGAGTGATTTACAAGCTTTTCTCGTGTTCTCCCAACATCCCGCGTGGTTTATCACGTCGGTAAACCCATAGAAAGTGTGGTCTATTGCTTAAATCTAACTTTTGTTTTATGTCTCAGAGAGCAAGGAAACTTGATAAGTTTGGTGGAAAGATGACCAAATTTGAAGACATTGGTGTGGACCTTAACAAGGTAAAGCTACAACTACCTTGGGGATGGCCAAATCTACTTCTTTAAGGAGAAAAACTTTGTTATTTTTGCCTTTAGCTTGCTAACATTTAGACTGCCAACAATTCATGCTGATTACATTTTTGAGCTGTGCGCTGAACTGTGAGCACAATTTCAGTTTCACAAGGCTTGTCTTAAGCAGACATGGTAGTGGACTGCTAAATGCACCCATCTAGAAGACACTCAAGGATAGGGTTGGATGGGCTACTTCCTTTTTTTACCCTGCTTTTTTTCTTATTCTTTTGTGGGCCAGTCACCCTATCATGAATCCTAGTCATTTGCCAACAGAGGCTACTTTGATTGATTTTCATGAAACTTGACCGTGGATGAAGCACAGTCAAGTATCTTTTTATCCAAAACCACATAGTCTGGGTAAATGTAGTAGTTTTCTTGGTACTGCAGACATGGGCAATTGCCAAATGATGTATTACAAGAGATTAAAAAGATACTTTATAATACCCACACCACAAAACAAAAGCGAACCAACAATACCAATAAACACTTGTAAATCGGGGCTACTATGAATTTGATTGGCAGCTGTTATACTGTTGAACCTCTCCACAATGGCCACCTTGGGGACAGAAAAAACAGACTGTTGTAGAGAGGTTTACACAAGAGTCAATGTATGGACTGTCCGCCAAAAAAGTGCCCGTTGTAGAGAGGTTTACACAAGAGTCAATGTATGGACTGTCCGCCAAAAAAGTGCCCGTTGTAGAGAGGTTTACACAAGAGTCAATGTATGGACTGTCCGCCAAAAAAGTGACCGTTGTAGAGAGGTTTACACAAGAGTCAATGTATGGACTGTCTGCCAAAAAAGTGACCTTTGTAGAGAGGTTTACACAAGAGTCAATGTATGGACTGTCCGCCAAAAAAGTGACCGTTGTAGAGAGGTTTACACAAGAGTCAATGTATGGACTGTCCGCCAAAAAAGTGACCGTTGTAGAGAGGTTTACACAAGAGTCAATGTATGGACTGTCCGCCAAAAAAGTGACCGTTGTAGAGAGGTTTACACAAGAGTCAATGTATGGACTGTCCGCCAAAAAAGTGACCGTTGTAGAGAGGTTTACACAAGAGTCAATGTATGGACTGTCCGCCAAAAAAGTGACCGTTGTAGAGAGGTTTACACAAGAGTCAATGTATGGACTGTCCGCCAAAAAAGTGACCGTTGTAGAGAGGTTTAAACAGGAGTCAATGTATGGACTGTCCGCCAAAAAAGTGACCGCTGTAGAGAGGTTTAAACAGGAGTCAATGTATGGACTGTCCATCAAAAAAAGTGGCCGTTGTAGAGAGGATTAAACAGGAGTTAATGTATGGACTGTCTGCCAAAAAAGTGACCGCTGTAGAGAGGTTTAAACAAGAGTTGATAACATGAAATGTATGGACTGTCCGCCAAAAAAGTGACCGTTGTAGAGAGGTTTAAACAGGAGTTAATGTATGGACTGTCCACCAAAAAAAGTGACCATTGTAGAGAGGTTTAAAAAGGAGTCAATGTATGGACTGTCTGCCAAAAAAGTGACCGCTGTAGAGAGGTTTACACAAGAGTCAATGTATGGACTGTCCGCCAAAAAAGTGACCGTTGTAGAGAGGTTTACACAAGAGTCAATGTATGGACTGTCCGCCAAAAAAGTGACCGTTGTAGAGAGGTTTAAACAGGAGTCAATGTATGGACTGTCCACCAAAAAAAGTGACCGTTGTAGAGAGGTTTAAAAAGGAGTCAATGTATGGACTGTCCACCAAAAAAAGTGGCCGTTGTAGAGAGGTTTAAACAGGAGTCAATGTATGGACTGTCTGCCAAAAAAGTGGCCATTGTAGAGAGGTGGCCATCATGGAGAGGTGGCCGTTAGTGGAAGTTCAATGGTAGCTTACTTATAGATGTTTTAATCTTTGATTTCAGGGTGGTGGATGAGGATAACTTTTCATTGGACTTAATTCCAATGATTCCAGTGTATACAATTGTTGAATATTATGTGCCATGTAAAATGACAACTTCTCTGGAAAAGCTTTCATGAGCCTCAAAGAAGTTTGATGGAGACTGGCAAGCTGTACTTAATAAAAAACATTTTACAAAGCTTATCTATTCTTAAAAAGGATGATATCCTTTTTTTTTTAACTGTACTTGAGAAATTATTTAACACACAAAATAAAAAAAACTTCTTGGTTAGTTGTTAAACTTCTTATCCTGAACTTCTGTACAAGAGGAGTGCAAACCATGTATGAAAAAGAAAATAGATGCAAATAATGCTGTATCAATTAGCTCTGACAAATTCACGTAGTGTGATTCTTGGGTGTCTCTATTTACAGTAACGCATACATGTATTGGGAAGGTAACACGGAGACTAATAACGTGCAAAAAAAAGTATTGTCACATGGCATCTGTATGATGCAGTGATTCCATCATAGGATTGTGTATCATTAATAACACAATAAACAACTTGCCACAAAATATTTTCAACGCTGTTTATTAGTTCTTTGGCTGTGAATTAATTTTTACAGGTAGCAAGATGGACAACAGCAGGCTGCATCTTTTATCATCTGAAACAAAAAAAATTGGAACAAGATACACTTAACACTTGATAATAATAATAGCAAGACAAAACGTTACCGGAAAGTGTGAAGTTTACAAGTACATTGATGATAAAATGTGTCAGGAATAACCCCATTTACAAGTACTACATGTATTTGGTCTTTAATTTGAAGTCCGCACTTTCCTATGTTGCCTTAAAACGTTTAACATTCACGTACACAGCCAGTAGCAGTTTCTTCTGCTATTTAGTTGGATTTCATTTACCATAACAATAGAAATCTCTAAAGTAATACCCAGTTAATGTATTTGTTTTTTTCACTTTCCCAAAAAATAATGATCTTTTTTGCTGTTGAACATGCTTTGCACCCGACTGAAATTATGACGACAAATGGTGCCAACAGTATCAAGACAGTAACATCAGTTTTAGTTCCAAACACTTAAAACCAGACATAAGTAAACCTTAACAAAGTTTAGTAAATATTCTTGACTTTAACCAGTGAATGTCACAGCATTAGCTTTGAAGTACTTTGCTTCCATAATTATGTATCTTTCACCAATTTCCATCTTTTAACAGCAGTGAAGTATTAAGACAGAATCCACCAAGAAATTGAGTAATTTTGATTTTCACTGGACAAAAATATTGTACCAGAATAATTTAAAGCATATTGCATTCTTTCTTACATTTTTCAAGGGCTAAAGATGTAATAATTCACCTATAGTAACACCAAAAAAAAATTCTCATGGGAGCCCACGAAAATGAATGTCAAATTTTACAAAGTTACATCTTACACATGAAATTTTTAGAATTTTACCAGTATAATCACAATTCTTGTAAAATTTGGGATTCATTTTCTCAGACTACCATGAGAAATTTTCTTTGGTGTTACTATTTACTACATATTTAGCCCTTGAAAAAATGTAAAAAGGACTGTAATATTCCTTAAATTATTCTGGTGCAAGATTTTTGTCCACTGAAAATTAAAATTACTCAATTTCCTGATGAATTCATCTTAAACTAATTCACAACAGTTAAAACAGTGTGTGAACTATGGGAAGCGTCTGTTAGAGGATGCATTGATTTTCAGATTACTAACTTCGTTTGAAACTCAAAACCTCTATGATAACACACATCTGTAAACTTTTGAAAATGTGTTTCCTCTCAACCAAGGAAAATAATTTTAACAGTGGATGGACGATACATGTAAAAGAATTTAAGAATGATCTTAAAACTATCCTTTTTTCTTCTCTGCATAAAAGAAAAAAACACTGAGTGTGAGTGTACCTTGTAAAATCACATGATGGGTCCTGCAGGCTGTTCAGGTTTGCCTCCTTTGTGTTCAGATACAGGAGTAGTTGGGATGACCTCCTCCTTAGGTTCCACAATACTGACATGATCTGGAAGTGGCTTCTTGGGTCCTGTTTTGCCAGTAGGGTCCCATGGAAGCATGATCTTTACTTTGATACCAAGCACACCTGACAAAATGAAAACTTCTTAGCATCTCACGTAATGTATTTAGCGGTATAAAACACTCTGTTTCACATCAAGCTTTTAAATATTATCATTATATGTAGCCCTTTGCACACAGTAAAACCTTCCTGGTATTGTTTTGTATTATCAAGATACATAATATTGAATTGCCCTTGATACAACTTTTTGGGCCAGTCATTTGTTTAGAAGCTAACTCATACCACAGTTTTAAGACTTGTTGGGCCTACCAGTCCATTTTTGAAGGTGTCTATTTCAAGTACATGAATGGTTCTCTAGTCTGAACTAGAGATTCCTTTGAGTTTTCATTTACTAAAGGAAGGGTAATCAACCAAAAATTATTTGTGCCAGGGACAAAATTGAAGCACAGCAGATATTGGTTTGTTCATAATACATACCCTGCCTGAGGTAGACATGCCTGATGGCTGTGTCTACATAGTGATTGGTGGGTTCACCACTGTGGATCATCAAACCATCAACAAACTTCATGGACTTTGCACGCTGACCACGCAGTTTTCCCGAGACAACAACTTCACAACCCTTAGCACCACTTTCCATAATGAATCGAAGTACTCCATAACAAGCCCTAACAAAGCAACACATCATTTCAACCTCATTATTTTACTTATTTTTTACAGAGATCAAATGTAGGAACACAGGGCCCAGTTCATCAAAAGATGATTAAGTTAAACCCAGGATTAAGCCAAATTTTAAGCAAGGTTTTCTTGGCTAAAAATAGACATGTAACTCAAACTTTCAAAATAGTGTTAAGCCTTTACTCTGAAATACAGTAATGCAACACAAATTGTTACTCTGAGCAATGCATAGGAAGGTAAATACAAAAAGTGCAAAAAAAATTAATTCTGGATTAGCCCTAATCGGCCTTTCAGGAACCGGGCCCAGGAGTAACAATTTTTTTTCATTTGCAAGTGTTAAAACTTATTTTTCTTGCTCTTGATTAGTACAATCCATTAGGCAAGTTTGGAGAAACACATTAACCCTTTTAATCCTAACAATGGTCAATGAAAAATTCACTAGCACACTCAAATTTCTATGGTTTGTTTAAACCTAAGAAATAAATAGGGCTATGCAAAAAATCTACCATAGAGGTTTCATTTGAATAGGTGGTTTTCACATTACGTCATCTCCGCCATGCTGGTGGACGATAAACAAAAGATTGCTCATTAGCTCGTTTTGTTTGCCCACCAGCATTTGTTCATTTCACCATTGTTATTTGTGTCTCCCGAGATTGCATGAAAACCACCTATAGTAACAAGATTTTTTTTTCCATAGATTATTTTAAAAGTTAGGGTGACCAGTCATCTCACTCTAACTTTTACAAGGAGTTAAAAGGCTAAAAACATCGTTGGGTCAATATTCTAATGTTAATATAGGGACCTTATGATCCAACAACTGCAATGCCAATGAAAACTTCACTGAAAAATAGACTTTGCATCCTTTGAACTTTTTTCAGGTAAGGTTAGAACTAAAGATACCTCATCAGAGTTTAGAGAGAAAGTAAAATTTATCGCCTCTCTGTTCCTGTTCTCATGTCAACCCAGAATTTTGTCATTTCATGTTGTAGTTGTGCAGGGATAGCATAACGCACATGCATAGTTGTTATTTTGCGCAGAAAATTTTTTGTGTTTTAGACATTCCCATCGCCATTGCCATCATGGTTTTAAGGGGTCTCTAACATACGACGCAAGCAGAAGTATCCAGGGAGAGAGACACATAATTAAAATGCAGTCGGACAAAACTAAAAGCAGTTTCTAATGTTTTCTGGAGTTTGTCTTTCTATTAAATTAACTAAGGCCAAGTGTAAAATGGGGTTGACAGGCCTACACGACTCCCCAGCGCGTGTTTAAAACAGCCTTTCTATAGTTTGGCTCTCACGAGTATGTCTTTGAGCGACCGCCCTCTTTTATAAGATACGAGGGGCGGTTTTTTGTAGATTTCGCTCAGTAATGGTTGTTGTTCTATTAAATGCCAGTTTTTCATGAGAATTTGCTTTAGGTTTGGCACTGATGGTTGGTATTGTGTGACAAAAGGCAAGATTCGTTGGTTTGTCTTTGGTTTCTGTTGAAGGGCTAGTTTCCTGTCTATGAAGTTCACCTCTGAGAGGGTTGTGTTAATAAGATCCTCTGGGTAACCCCTCTGTAGCAGATGCGCTTTGAAATTTGTAATTTTCTCTTCGAATATTAGTTCGGAAGAGTTTGTTCTGAGGAGTCGGAGGGCTTCCCCTTTAATGAAGCCTTTTTTAACTCCTTGCAGGTGACAGGAAGCAAAATGGGTATACTGAAATGTCTCAGTTGGTTTGAAATGAGTACGCACATCAAGGATTGCGTCTCTTTCGAATCTTTCCCTAGTGTGAGAAAATCCCCAGTTTCAAATCTTCATTCACATCTCTACTTGGCAGAAAAAAATTGTGGACTTCTTCTGATCACCTACCTCCTTACTGCAAGTCCACCAATCAGCTTGTACCTAAGAGACTCACACTGTGCAATGGCACACAGACCTCTTGTGGCAACTTTCTCTGCATACAACTGGAAAAGACATTGGTGTAATATTTAACAGGGTTTAAAAAAATAATAATTAGCACATATTGCTTACAATCATAATTCACTTTTAAAGATTGCAAAGCAGGATTTATCTCTGCCGACAACAGTAAGTCACATATCCAAGTTGCTCTGCGCCCAGTTGTTTGAAGGCCATTAGTGCTAACCCAGGGTCAAATTTTAACCCACATTTCTTTTTCTTTTATTCAAAAGCATTTTCCAGTATAATTTTCAAACATCAAATTGTAGACAAAAAGAATAATACTGATTTCACTTCTTAAGCTTTCATATCTAAATTCAAATTTCGCACTAACCCTCGGTTATCTCAACCCTGTTTGAACAACCCGGCCAAGGAATTTCAGATTCCATCCCCATAACAATCAAAATTAATGCTCTGTAGGCCTTAGCAACTACAGCAAATACAGCCCTTGCTGTTGTTAAATTTGTCAGATTGATTTCACAACAGCAATATCATATCCTTGAATGGGGGAGGGGGGGGATCCAAATTTTTCAACTATTTTGTCCAACAGCGTTGTAAATAGAGTTCAATTTAAGAACAAACCTCCACAGTTCCCTCAGGAAATCCAAATCTCTTCTGTACCACTGATGTCAGTTCACGGATGCGTCGACCTTTCTCTCCAAGAACATTCTGGGTCCTGGTTGCCAATATGATGATTTCAGTTCGGATGGGAGTAACACGAACTTCGACTCCACTGTAACCATCTTCTGCTAATTCACGAGTTAAAAACTCGTTCAGTTCGGCTTTGAATACGCCATCAGCAACAAACTATACGAAAACGAAGAATAATAAAGTTGATTTTGACAATAAAAAAAAGCATTTTCCAGTCCTTCTATCGATGTTTTAGACTAATAGGATTATTGAAAAACGTTGTATTTTACTGTGGAGAATTATTCTTCATGAAGCCAAATCCTTTGCACAAACAAATGCTTTCAAGAGAGAGCCACCGAGTACACCAGAGAGAATCAAACTAGTGACGCATTAAATTCAGTATAACGGTGGGAGAATAGGCCAGGGACTCAGTTACAAGCTCTGATTTCTGAAATTGAAAGTCTATCATTATCCAGATACGAAAAATAAGAAAGTAAATCAATTTAAATCTTGACCATAACTTGGCCATCGCCTCCATACAATGAAATGAATTGATAGGTAAGTGAGTATATTTTAATGGCATATAACAAATTCTTGTTAAGATGACGTCCTGAGAGAGATTTCGTCGGTTTTCTAACCTTCTTTTTCTTGCTGATTTGAGCCGCCATGATGACTGCCGCGAAAGAGAACTATCCCAACGTACATTGCGCGCATAAACCAACACGCGCAGGCGCAGTCAGCAGTCCGCCATGTTTTCAAGTCGGTGTTTTCGTTCGATTTCGAAGCTTTCTTCCACTGCGCGACTGGTTGTAAGTGAATTTCTCGTCTTTAAATTCCATTGTGCACTTAGTTCAACAAAGATGTTTCTTTTTTCAGCGCCATGCTTCAAGGTTGCAACAGGAAACCTGTCGAGAAGGCAAGTAGAACTTCCCGGCCCCGCACGTGAGAATTTGTTGGCCACATGTGCAAAGTAACAATAAGAAGTCATCTAATAAAACAATGAAATAATTTTTGTTGTCGTCTGCAGGGTTGATTCTACAGAGCGGTCTACTGGGAAGATCAGCCACAAGTGGCCAGTGGTAAGTACTGCCATGGGGCCTGGAACTAGCCAGTCAAGATAAATATCCTGAGGCTATGTTCCCACCATTTCTGGTTTGCACGTGACGTCACGGCGGCCATGTTGGTGGTCAAGAAATGTGGTTGCAAACCAAGAATACCTGTTTTTTGCACCTGCACGAAAACTATACCGGGTATTGCTTCTGTTCACACATGAGAGCAGTGATTTGGCCATTATTTCTGTAATGGAGCAAAGCTGCATCGCACTGATCTCAGAAGTAGAGCTTCACTTATTGGATAGGTTTTGTGTCACACTTTGGTGCAGCATGAGCAGGTGTTCAGACCATAGCAGAAGTGAATGATATAGGAGAGAGGACTGAAACCCACTGAGAAGGAAGTAAATATTTGGGAGTGAGGACTGGGATTTAGTCCTCCAAGTTCTCTCGTCAACTGCCCCGGCACAATGTTTGATGTGTGTAAATGGTCATGACTTGCTTCAGTCATGTTATGAGCAGTTGTTGTTCATTCTACACTGGATAAGGTTTTGTGTCGGCGGGAAAAACCATCTGGTATAGTAGGAACATAGCCTACGTTGCCTATATTAGTTTTGTTATGAAACTGAAGATATTTCTTAGTTACTAGCAGTAAACAACATGTGTGTTTACCTTAAAGGTGTGATTGATGTTGAGAACTGCTTTCATAATTGTGTACTCTTATCAAACATAGCTCTCAACCAATCAGGGCGAAAAATCACTCAGTCAAGGATCCATATAATTCACTGTTACCATATTCAGTTTTCATGTCGTTAATCACAAGTATTTTTCAATTTGTGAAGAACTGCATTCAGGGGCCATTTGCGAAAACTTGACAGCACTCATTAAGATGTGGCGTTTTCTATAAGGTGTTTCGCCGCCACCCACAAAAAAAAAAATTGAGGCAGGAGCTGCTGCCTTTTACCCTTACACAAGGAAAAATGTAAGCACACCTTCTTGCCTTCATGGCAAGAAAGTGACAGACCCCAGTCTGTTTTTGTGCCCAAACAGAATGTATCCCAGTCATCCACTGAAGTCACTGAGTCTCAGTCTACATCTCCTACATCAGGGGACAAAATGTTTTGTGACATCTGTTAAAAAGCTTCCAAAGTAGACAAAACTATAATGTCCAGAACAATGTGTTTGTGGAGGGCTGCTCTTCGCTTTTTTTAGAATCAGTCAAGATTCAGAAGACCTCAGCAAATCACAGAAATAAAAAGCAAATCAGAAATGTTCAAGTTGCACACATTAAGGGCCATTCCTTTTATAATTCTGCACTTGTCCAGGCAACCTAAATAATGTTGTAACCAGGAAAGTGTGCTATCAGGCTTAATTACCCGGATGATGACTCTGATTAAGAATGAATGTAGATGCCTTCTCAGTTATTGTAAAAAAAATGTTTTGATTAGTTTCAGTAATTTTACATTTTTATTTGCATAAATATTAGATTGCAATTTGGAGGTAAAACAATGTGTCTCAATGAATTTTATTTTTATTTTTTGGGTAACAGCCTTGCCACACAAAGCAAATATGGCAGACGGTTTACCAGGAACCTGTACATAACAACAGTAGCATGTAAGTTAAATTATTGCTTTAAGTGTACCTAACAACAAAAAGTGTTTCTCACTAAGGGTTGATTTCCACTATTGCATAATTTTTCCGTAAGTACGTGCGTAAAATTTATGTTTACCAATAAAATAAAGGCAAATTATGTATGAAAGGTCGCACGTAAGGATAAAAGTAGAACCTTGCTCAACTTCATGTTTAATCTCAGCACTTTAAATCTTGCCTCTATTTTATTTACGTGATTAAAATAATGTGCGTTAATGTGCGTAGCCAAAAACACACCAGTGGAAATCAGTCTTAAGGTAAAATCCCTCATTATCCAAAGCATGTCTTTTTTTCTGAAAATTTTTAATTTTCTACGAAATTTTGCGAATCATCAAGGTTTCTGTTGAGACGTGATCATCAGAGGGATCTGTGGTGAACCACATCTATGATGTCAAAATATGACATCAAATCAAGAGAAGAATTTAAAATCTAGTCAGGTTTAGGCTACAGGTTAAGCGTGTAATGCAAAGGTTTTAGTTTTATTGTTTGTAGAAAATGATTAATAAAATAATTAATAATGTTTTAGAGGGAACACATTCACATAGTGGTTTTCATAATTATGCCACTCCTGATTCAATATAATATTTTAATTTGGAATGCTGGTTTTTAAAAAGAGGGGAAAAGCCAGTTTTTTTGTACTTAACTCAATGCACCTCTGGCAATTTTTGCTGCTTGTATTTTTATGTTTTATATTCTGTTTTCTCAATTCAGGTGATCTCTCCAGAATACCAGAAATTCTGACAAATTCAGTTATTGATGGAGCTGGTGTGGACAGTGATATAGCTGAGGATGATGATGAAATGTCAAGTCCAGTAAAAAAAGCAAAGCATTGGCAAAATCCTAGTTACTAACATTGTCTACACTGCCCGTAATAAGAAGCAAATACTGTGAACATTTTTGCATGAAGTTTTCTTAATCTTACAGTTCCTTTTTACTTTTAATTCACAGTTGAGGAAGTGCTAAATGCTGTGATTTCTTTCAGAACTGTAAATCTAGCTTTCACTTGTAGCCCCCTCTGGTATGAATAGTAATTCCAAAATTATCAGTGGCAAGCAGTTACTTTTATTTAAAGTGATATTTTTATTCCCTTAGAATAAATTGTGTATGGAAAGAAGTGTAAAGAAGATGAGAGTATGATATCACAAGTGAAAACAGTTGAACCTCCATTAAGTGGCCATCTATTAAGCAGATAGTATCCATTGAATGTCTAGCAGTATTCCATATAAGACACAGGTCTCAGGTCAATGACCCAACAAAGAAGGCTTCCTGACCCAACAGATAAAAATGTTTTGATTTAAATGTAAAGAAAAAAATTAGCACATGATCTGGATGACCCCTCAGATGGTCTACACCACTCAAATGATATTGTAGAAAATAATAAATTGTAAATTTTATTAAACCTCTTGGGAAGTGGCCACCTCTATCAAGCTGACGTGGCTAGCCTGAGAAAACAGCTGACATTAATTTTGACGACTCTACAATTGGTTTCCCCACCAAATGACTTTTAAGAAACAAGCACAGAAATTCCATACTGATGACACGTCACTACTCAGATCTGGGTAGTGCTTCTGATTGGTTCAATCAAATTTCCCATGTGGCACAACCAATCAGAAGCAATACCCAGATCTGGGTAGTGACACATCATCAGTATGGAAATTCTGCGCTTGTTTCTCAGATGTCATTTGGCAGGGAAACCATTGGTAGCTTCGCCAAATGTTGGCTGTTTTCTCAGGCTACCTTTTGGCTGGCCCAACAAAGGTTCAACCCATTTTTGTCTCTTTTATTATGTGTTCATCAAGTGCTTGATACACTTAGTTTGGCATTATTTTAAAAAATATGATGAAGAAAAATACAGCCCAAAATAAGTGTCAACTGATTGTGGACCAGTAATGCTCCTTCCATCGCAATTTTTTTTTTTCAAAATAATATATTTCCCCTAAAAATTATGCTAATTTATGATGAACCTCTTTGGAGTGGCCACTTGCTGGTACCTGGTTCCCTTAAGATTGGCCGCTTAATGAAGGTGCAACTGTACTAAAGTTTTAAGCTTTCAGTGTTCCATGTTTCTTGATAGTGTATTAATTTTTACACCAAAGATTTTCTCACTTTTGAAACTGGCAGTGTTATATTTTGATTAATTAGTGAACTGAAAATGCACCGTTTTGTCTTCTCCATTTTTAATAATGAGTTGATTCATTAGATAAAATTTTTTCTTCAGAATTAATGCATCAGTTCTCTGAAATGACGAAAAGAAACTGTTGAGTGGATGTATAACAATTTTAGAAAAGAGCATAGAAATGGAAAATAGCACACCTCGAACACAGAATTCGTTATTTCAGGAAAAGGGGAAAGGGATGCATCGTGCCATTTAACACGTTGTAATCGACGAATCCCAGGAACTCTCTAGAACGTGGCTCCTTTAACCTGATCATACGTAATTTTGTTGTTGGGGCCGTTCTGGAATCAGACTAGTTCTTGGTTTATGCGGAGATAGAGAGAGAGAGAGAGAGAAAAAAAAAGTAAACGATCAAGATGTGTCTAACTTAATGTATTCAAACACTTCCTTAAAGGAAAGAAGGAGAAGAAACCCGCTGAAAAGGAATGCCCTATACATGTCATGTGATGCTCTTCGGATCGTACTTCCTATTATTTAAGTGTTTTGCATTTATTAATATATCTGTTTTCTGTGAATACCTCGAACAGTTCCAAAGGTGATTTCAATGAAACCATGAGACGTTTTTCCTTTTTACAATTGTGTAACTCTTTATCCCGCTACGCAAGTCAGACATTTGAACGTGATAGTGCAGTCGTTCGTCGTCTGTGTTTGTTTTGGATGCACCACAGCACGCCTGTCAAATCTATTCCCATTGTGTTTTGTCCAATCAGGTAACACTTTTAAGCCAACACCCACCACCCTCCCTCCGCAATGAAACGTCACAGCAAGCGCTTACCGGCATAGAATTCTTAACTGTTTTGGTGCAATTCAGTTTGCAGAGCAGAGTCACTTCAAGCATGTTTTTACGAACGATAGGCAGTAGACTTTCGATTCAGAGAGGAGCCTTGCTGCTCCGGCGTGTTCCAATCCGTGCTGCAACTGGAGCTTACAAAGTTGTAGTCGAAGAAAACGGCGGCGACATGTCACTGGTAGGTGAAGGTCTCTTATTGCACACAGTAGTCACAAAACGCTTGAAAACAGGAATGTCTCACAAGAGAGCCCTAGTTCAACCGAGACACAGTTAATTAACACTGTAGTAGTCGCCAAACAGAACATTCGTAGCCGTTTAAACAAAGTAGAAGTATCAAACGACGATAATAAAACGTGGAATGCACAAACCAGGTGAGGAATTGATCTTTGATTTGCTTGAAGCCTGGTGAAGCCCATAATATTCTCTCTAGATGTAATGTTATCGATCGAGATCCAGTTGTGAAGAGCAGCTCATCACAACAAACAGGGTTACCATTTTTAACGGCAATACGTTGCACAGAAGTGAACATAAGCGATGCGTGGAAGCGCTGTAACAACCCGTTTCATTTTGTTGCAACTTGCTCGAATATCGAAGCCTAACGAAGCAAATCGACCCGGCTGCAGCGTAGCTTATTGGTTTAAAATATTTCTTTTCTTTGAAGTACTACACGAATTTAAAGAGCCAACTCCCAATATTTTTGCCCGTTTGACGTCTAAGATTGACATAAAGGAGCATCTGTGCCGAAATTATGATGAAACCATAAAAGGCAGATTCAGACTTGTGGGGGTATCGATTAAACGTAATTTAAACGCTTTGCACTGAATGTTAGAAACGCGTATAGCTCTAGAAGTTTGTTTTCCGTTTGCTATCCGAATGCAAACTTAAACGCGTCATGGGAAATAAAAGCTGTAAAATGGAAAATAGTTATCTGCTTTCGATTCATTTTTCTTGGAAAAGCGGTGAAAATTGAATTCATTGTCGTCGCGTGACTTGTTCTTTGAGTGTCGGTGTCAAGAATGGACAAAAAACGAAAACATCGGAAACAGCTAGCTATGTTAGGGATGAAAATTTACTTCGGCGTTTTGAATAGTGTCACTAAGGGATGCGCCCCTTCCCAGACAGGCTAGTTCACCGTTCGCTTCGTCACGGCTAAAGGCGTCGGTTTGAATTTCACCGATTTGGACAGAAGGCTTTTAATAGTTTTTCAATCTTTGGTTTGTCTCACTTTGACTGTGAGCGCTTACAACATTAACTGGCTCATTAGTGACCTAGTAAACTGTCGTAATCGTAAACATACATTTATAAACAGGCCGGCGATGAGACGCTGAGAGGCGCAATAGAAGTGGGGTGAGTTGTATAATGCCGGCGTGACCGCTCTAAGCTAATAACCATATGAAAGAGTGTTTTGTTTTTGTTTTTGTTTTTCCTTTATTTTGACGACCTGGGGCCAAAACCAACGTCTGGAACAAGAACCAACGTCGCTTTCAATAGCCCAATGAAAGTCTCTTCTCGCCAGACGTTATTAACAAATACGGTCTGAAGTTATAAACTTTTCTGCAACTAGCCCCTGGAGGCTACAATTATTTAAATTCGACGAATCTCGTTCGTGTAACCAGAATTCCAAGTGGAAAGAAATAAAGGAAGAGTGATTTCTTGTAACATTTACTATCGGTGCGTCAGCTTGTTCTCGCAACAACTCTCTACTTTAATTTCTTGATTTAACTAGAAAGGGCGGACGGAATTTAGGGTTTTGGGAAACTGCCCACCTACCCCTCCCCGAAGCCAACAGATACACCGTTTCCGTGTAAGTGTACGGGTAAATTAGCCGATCACGTAGCCCTAAATACGTGGAAATTGCCTCTTACCGGAGAGAAACGGGTAGGCAACCGGGTAGAATGGTTATGCCATTATCACATCTGGGAAATAATGATTGCCTTTTATAAAATTACTAGGTAAACATGTTCGGTCTCGTAGGCTGAAACGGTGTATCTTAAGGTCACTACATGTATTAACATGTACTTTTCACGTGGGGCAAAATGTTGACCTTAGGGGAAGGGTAGGTGGGCAGTTTCCCAGAAACCTATATTGATCCGAAATGGATGATATTTCTGTAGAATGATGATGTGAACTGCAAATGCGGAAATACAAATTTAAATGAAGATATGATCTTCAAAAAAAAAGAAAAAAAATCGGGACTTCAACGGGATTTGAACCCATGGGCTCTGCGTTAACGCTGCAGATATTTCTATACTACAATGCTACAATCCAACGATCCTACAATAATTTCGTTGGCATGAAACTCTCGGAGTGGCCGTGTCAATTTTTCTTCCTGATGCTTTTGGCGATGTTCACACTTACCCGGGTAGCTTTTTGGGCCGACTTTAAAAGCTATCGGTTGTAGTGTTAATACCTATACGATATGTGACTCTCCACTTTAGAGATCGGCGAGGCGCAGCTTAGCTCCGTCACAGAAATCGCGCCAAAATCACCGTCCTAATGTGTGAACAGAAGCCCTATCTGGTGTTGTTTACGTCCCGGGGCAAAAGCTATGCGGTATGGTCATAGTCTTAAACACCTTATGTCGCTTCTTTGGGGTCCCTGTGGCATTCTGCGCGCGCGAGGTTTTGCGTGAGATTTCCGCGTTTGTCGACGTAAAGTCGAGAACGACTATAATTATCGGAGTTTTCTCTTGAATGTCTTTCCCCAGAATTATACGAAAGTTTTGTTTAAACGATTTTAGGAAACGCACTGTACAACTGAAGAGATATATTTCGCGGCATTCACTCCGCCACACCTTTTCAGCAGTGCAAGCCAAGAAGGTACCGTGTAAATTTTAGATGGAAATGTGCTGTTAGTGACACATTCAGATCATCAAAGTTTTTTAAGGGTAGGACACACCAGGTGATTTTTTTCTTGCGTTACCTGTTAAGGCTCTTGTTTGCCATCTGCGGAGTCGTACCTGATGTCGGATTCATAAGACAGAAAAGACTTAGGGAAGATCGACAATCCGAGTTGTCGGCGGCGTCATGAATCGTAGTCGCTAGAATCAGAACGTTCCCCTTTTCCTCCGTTTCCGCAAGTTGCTTTTATTTCCACTTGATAAGCTCTGCGCGTCTGATTCCGACCCTGTCTCCAGACAAACTGTCCTAATCAATTTAAACATGCGGATAAAACGAAAGGAGACTGTTTCTAAGTCATGATGCGACAGGAAGTCGCTTGATAAGAGCCCTTGCTTTGTGTAGTGACATTCGTGGATAAAGAAACGTGAACTGCAGAACAGGCGTTATTTCTTTGCGCTTTTCAGGCGAGAAAAGTCAAGCGCAAAGCGACGGGGGAAAGCGAAACAGTAACGCCGCGCCTGTCCTCAAACCACTGTTTGTGCTTTTTTGCCGTTCATATAGTGAACGCAGCTATCCAGTTAGCTAATTTCCGCGCCTTCCTCGTCGCGCGAAGAATCGAGGATGTTCTTTGAAAAATTAGAATTAAGCTCCCGTAGATACTAATCTGGGCGTGGCTTTATACACCAGCATAGTACAGTATCGCAGATACTGACAGCAATTCTTTTCCAAAATATGTCTTTTATTACAGTCATGAGAGATCTTTGTGTGGTTAATATTGACGTTCCGTCTTGAAGACCCTGTAATTTACACCCCAAAGCGAGATAAAGAGCATCTTTTTTCTTTTCATATATGGGAGTTCTCCTTCTCACCGGATTAAATTAAACCATACGGTTTTTTGTTCTTCTTGTTGTTGTTTTTCAAAACCGTTCTTTGACTATGACCTTAACTATTGACACTATTTCTAATTGACTTTTAACCACAGCAGGATTAGCTCAGTCGGTAGAGCGCTTGACTGTAGAACAGGAGGCGTGGGTTGCAATCCCGGGACCAGACCAATACTCAGGGTCTTAAAATAACTGAGAAATGAAAGTACTGCCCTTGCCTTGCTTCCAAACGGCTAGACCTTCCCGTGGCTCGGATGACCACGTAAAATGGTGGTCCAGTCTCCAGTTGGAGACGTAAAAATAGTATCTCAATTAGTACATTAGTCCTAAATAGATTGACACTCAAATAAAGGGCATTCTTTTTGTTTTAGATGAAGTACAAGAACGTAGATGATTTTATGCAGCAAGTTGTTATAGCAAAGAACCCGGGTGAACACGAGTTTCATCAGGCCGTCGAAGAAGTTGTAAGCTCCTTATGGGACTTCCTAAAGGAAAACCCCGCCTACCTTGAGGGCAACATCTTAGAACGCATCGTGGAACCAGAAAGGGTCGTCATCTTTAGGGTCCCTTGGAGGGATGACAAAGGAGAGACCCATGTTAACAGGGGCTTCCGTGTGGAGTTCAATTCAGCCATTGGCCCTTACAAAGGGGGTCTGCGCTTCCATCCCTCCGTCAATTTAGGAATTCTTAAGTTTCTTGGATTTGAGCAAGTGTTAAAAAACAGTCTCACGACCCTTCCTCTCGGAGGCGGAAAAGGAGGCTCGGATTTCGACCCGAAAGGAAAGAGCGACAACGAGGTAATGAATTTCTGCCAGTCATTCATGTCCGAGCTTCAGAGGCACATCGGCCCAAACACGGATGTCCCGGCCGGAGATATTGGCGTGGGAGCAAGAGAAATCGGGTACCTGTTTGGCCAGTACAAGAAAATACGCAATGAATTCACTGGGGTGCTGACCGGTAAATCGTATTCGTTTGGTGGAAGTTTGCTGCGACCGGAAGCCACCGGGTACGGCCTCGTATACTTCACTGCGGAGATGCTAAACACGCGACGCGAGACCTTCAGGGGAAAACAGGTTACGGTATCTGGGTCCGGGAACGTGGCACAGTTTGCGTCTGAGAAAGTCATGCAACTGGGGGGCAAGGTGGTAACACTATCCGACTCAACGGGGACCATCTACGACCACTCCGGCTTGGACAAGGAAAAGATCGAGTACGTCAAATATCTGAAAAATGTAAAACGAGGACGCATCAGCGAGTATGTGGAGAAGTTCCCCGATGCAGAGTTCTTCCAAGGGAAGCGGCCATGGTTTGTAAAATGTGATGTCGCTCTACCATGCGCCACTCAGAACGAAGTGAGCAAGGAAGACGCGGAAATGCTGGTCCAAAATGGCTGCTACTGTGTGGCAGAAGGCGCGAACATGCCCACTGAGCCGGAAGCCATTGAAGTGTTCCAGAAACACAAAATCCTATACGGGCCTGGTAAAGCGTCCAACGCTGGGGGCGTGGCCGTTTCCGGTCTGGAGATGTCTCAAAACAGCTTGCGTCACGCCTGGACCCGTGAGGGTGTAGACGAACGCTTGCATGACATCATGGAGAGCATTCACAATACCTGCGTCATGTATGGTACCTCGAAAGATGGCTACACCGACTATGTAAAGGGCGCGAATATTGGCGGCTTCATGAAGGTGGCTCAATCCATGATAGAACAAGGAATTGTTTAGAGATTTCATTGAACCATGTCGTGAATTTTAACGTAACAAAATTTTTTCTTTAGAACTGTAAAGTACTTTATCTAGGAATGTTCAAAAACAGTCCATGGACACTGTGGTCAACGAAAATTTATCAGGAGGATAGATTAGCTCTTCATTCATATACTAGGTCATTTGAACTGCCATCATTTATTTAAAATAATTATCTTATTTTGTTAAGCCATCTACAGCTTTGCGGCCCTAAGAATTTAGATCCTAGTTAGTCCAGTCTCTTTCCCTATGTCTATAAGTAACTTAGTTTAATTACGACGTTTTACTCAGGTAATACAGAACAAGTGTAAAGATTAGTGATTTGCGTGTGGCTGCTTGTTAATAGCTTGAGGCTGCTAACGAATGTAGAAAGAAAGAAAGTTAATTATTGTGTTATGTATTTATGTGGTGTGTAACACGTATAGTTGACTTCTTGAGCTTGTACTCAGTACCATAGGAGACGCCAGCTCATTTTTACGAAATAAAACTTTATGAAATGTAAAAAATGA